ATCTTCTTTTTTTTTACTGTTTTGGTGGAAAAAAAATTATTACAATTATTATCTATTTTATTTGATCTATTATCTATTTAACCGTATAAGAAAGAAGGAAGTAGAAACCCCATCAAATGTAGACTTTATCCTATTCTGTCAGACCCCCAGCACTCGTGTTCTTCCGCAAGACACTAAATCCTGATCGACTGACTGACCCTTTCATCATCTGCCTCTGCAAATGTCAAATGTCATTTCTTTGCTTCACAAACTGACAGTAAGTGGCAAAAATGAAGAGCTCTGTCTTGACAAGGACCCACCTTAAATTACAGCAGAAACACTTAATTGTTGTTCCAGAATAGCAGTGATCGTGTGACGGGCCATTTATGCCAACACAAGTGTCTTTTGAAGTTGCTTTTAATGAAAAGGGGGTGATTTATTGTGTACAAATCCGACACAAATATGAAATGCATTTATAATGCCATACAAATGTCAAGTGAACTGCACTTTTGGGTCAAGATGTGATGGACAAGAGACATTACGTCCTCTTTTGTACAGCCTCTTTTTACTTTGATACCATTTTCCGTTAAAGCAGAGCTGACCATGTCTGTTTCCCTTTCTCTTTCCGTACAGGCGAAAAAGTTGCTCAAATCTGCCTATTACATTATAATTATATATTGCAACAGCTTTTCAATGTTGTCTCTTTTTTTCAGGAAAAAAACATACCTGAAAAAAAAAAAGTTCCTTCAGTCACATTAAATTATAATTTTGACTTGAATAAAAAGTCAATTTAAATGTCAGCACACCAAGGGCCTTTTCAAAACACCTGACAGACCCATTTTTATTGTGCATCAATATGCCAAAAACACTGAGCAAATGGTTTTGCTCATTTTAATTTGAGCGTTTCCCTATTTTTACTCTATATACAGCCAAATTCCTGTTTTTCATTGTAGATGTTTCTGGTATGGTTTTCAAGCTGCATGAAGTAATTAAGCGTGCCCAATTAACTGTTGTTTCAACTGTGTTACATCATCACAGATATGTTTCATGATTTAAATTAATAGTGTCAGTTTTGCTGACTTAGCCAATATGCATGTCTGGTCATTATGGAAAAATAACAGCACTTAATGCAGCTAAAAATGTGTCCAAGCACAATCATTACAATCTCCATTATTTGTTTCCCAAATACAGTTAACAACACTTAACACACACATAAGCAGACCGTAAATTCATTTCATTATGCCATAACACTATTACTTGTGGATGTACTACCTGTAGATGCATTTCACTAACATCAGCACATAAATCAATGTAATTGCACCGCAGCTAGCCGTAGTTGAGTGGGCCTCAGAAAGCTGAATAGATGCTTGAATTAATATGTAAAAATAATCCAGGGCTGGAAGTGACACACACTTTTGTAGCCAAATCTGATTGTTTTCTGGATTTTGCACTTGTTAGATGAGTTCACACCTCTCAAGTGTGTTGTAACCTAAATTAATTACAGAAATCTTGTCAATTTGGCTCTTAATGGATGGAGGAGACATGAATATTCAGCATCAAGTCTGCCTAATCTAAATGTTGTTACTGTTAAAGGTAAACTATGGAACTTTTTTTGGATAAAAATGAGTTAAATCTCATTTTAAAATTTAAAATCTCGAGTCAATACATCATAAATCCAAAACATGTTTTTGTCTTACCCTGACTCACCATGGTAAGCCTATTATAAGTGTTTATATTTTAGACCTGCCGGGATGTTTTCGTGGGAAATCATTTTCGTAATTAGAGAAACGTTTCTCCGGCTACTTTGACGCGTGTGTGAGTGGCAGAGTGTCACGGATGCACCAGCTTCAGCGCCAGACTTCTACTCTCCGCCCACTCGTTCTGCCTCGCCCGAATTCTAATCATCCGCACCTGTCATCACCACCTGTCTGTCATCCGCTCTCACTTAACCCACACCTTATAAACCACACCAGTTCACCTTCACAGTTGTCTGGTCTCGTCGATCCATACGACTACCTGACTCTCGCTACCTAAGCACTCTGCAAACCTGATGCTACTTACCTTTCTGAGAGACTCACCCGTCTGCTTCCAGAAACCTGTCTTCCTGTCCAGTCCGGTCCGTCTTCAACCCGTCAGCCATCTGCTCTCCTTGTATCATCTCCAACCTGCATCAGATAAGAGACTTTGTCAACCCTCACGTTTCATCCATTCCATTATACATCTGCTAACCAGCTACTCACCTGCCGAATCTGTTCCTCTTAATAAACCTTGTGTTACTCTACCTGTTTGTGTCATTCTGATTTATGACACAGAGGTTAGTTGTCACAACGAGTAAGAAAGGTTGGCATAAAGTAGCTAAATCTTTAACCTCCGGGGAATCACCCGTTGCAAAAAAAAAAGTCTGCTGGCAAAAAGATAACGTGAAAGGGCTCGTAATAAAACAAGAACCAACATTGGCTTGGCTTTTCGGAGATGGCAAGAACCGATGGATTTGAAATGTTGTAAAATTGACGCAGAGAGTAAGGTATTTTATGTATATATATACACTCACCGGCCACTTTATTAGGTACCCCATGCTAGTAACGGGTTGGACCCCCTTTTGCCTTCAGAACTGCCTCAATTCTTCGTGGCATAGATTCAACAAGGTGCTGGAAGCATTCCTCAGGGAGTTTGGTCCATATTGACATGATGGCATCACACAGTTGCCTCAGATTTGTCGGCTGCACATCCATGATGCGAATCTCCCGTTCCACCACATCCCAAAGATGCTCTATTGGGTTGAGATCTGGTGACTGTGGAGGCCATTTTAGTACAGTGAACTCATTGTCATGTTCAAGAAACCAATTTGAAATGATTAGAGCTTTGTGACATGGTGGAAGTAGCCATCAGAGGATGGGTACATGGTGGCCATAAAGGGATGGACATGGTCAGAAACAATGCTCAGGTAGGCCGTGGCATTTAAACGATGCCCAATTGGCACTAAGGGGCCTAAAGTGTGCCAGGAAAACATCCCCCACACCATTACACCACCACCACCAGCCTGCACAGTGGTAACAAGGCATGATGGTTCCATGTTCTCATTCTGTTTACGCCAAATTCTGACTCTAACATCTGAATGTCTCAACAGAAATCGAGACTCATCAGACCAGGCAACATTTTTCCAGTCTTCAACTGTTCAATTTTGGTGAGCTCTTGCAAATTGTAGCCTCTTTTTCCTATTTGTAGTGGAGATGAGTGGTACCCGGTGGAGTCTTCTGCTGTTGTAGCCCATCCGCCTCAAGGTTGTGCGTGTTGTGGCTTCACAAATGCTTTGCTGCATACCTCGGTTGTAACGAGTGGTTATTTCAGTCACTGTTGCCCTTCTATCAGCTCGAACCAGTCTGGCCATTCTCCTCTGACCTCTGGCATCAACAAGGCATTTCCGCCCACAGAACTGCCGCTCACTGGATGTTTTTTCTTTTTCGGACCATTCTCTGTAAACCCTAGAGATGGTTGTGCGTGAAAATCCCAGTAGATTAGCAGTTTCTGAAATACTCAGACCAGCCCTTCTGGCACCAACAATCATGCCACGTTCAAAGTCACTCAAATCAACTTTCTTCCCCATACTGATGCTCGGTTTGAACTGCAGGAGATTGTCTTGACCATGTCTACATGCACTGAGTTGCCGCCATGTGATTGGCTGCTTAGAAATTAAGTGTTAACGAGCAGTTGGACAGGTGTACCTAATAAAGTGGCCGGTGAGTGTATATATATATATATATGAGTAAGCTATTTTATTGAGCAGATAAATTGCCATATGTAATTAATTTATTGTAAAGCATTATCTATTGTGAAGAGTATTTTTTTGTATTATTATGGTTGTTGTTAGCGCTGTGCTGGAATTTATTTTCAAGTACCGTGTCTATTAATGGGTAAAGCTACAGTAACGTCTTTAGCTAGTCAGCTTGAGATCATTTCCATCTAAACTGGTTATATCTCTTAAACCTATAGTGAATGTTTTATGAGCAGAAGGATAACCATATTCATCCGAAGCACAACCAAAACAATGTTCTTCATAGTGTACCCTTAACTAAAACTAAAAATGTGTCTTTGGTAAATGAAATAAAGCTGATGTAAATAAAGTATAAATAGTGCATGAAAAACTAAAACTTAAAACTAAAATTAATAAGTTGAATTTGAAGTACTACAATTACCAATAAAAATATTAAACAAAATGAATGAAAATGACAAAAGTACATAAGATGACTAAACCTTAAACTAAAATTAAAATGAACACTGAAAATATAAAACCAAAAGCTAATTAAAAATACTACACTAGTAACACTAACATAACATTACTAATCTAGCGACTATCCCTAAATTTGTATCTTTCACAAAACTGCTCCTCTTCAGTGCTTTTGATTCTGCAATAAATGACGTGGATGCTATTTAAGGTCCTTGTGGTGGGCGTTCTCTATCTGCTGTTTCTCAGACAGGAGGCAAGCCTACCAGAGCAGATTCTGGTTCTCTTGCTACAGATGGCTCGAGAACTTAATTGATTTGATAAACTCTCAGCAAGTTGCCGTTTCTTTCTAATGCTGTGACAAGTGATTACTTGAGGAAACTCATTAACAGTCCTCTGAAATCAAGTCAGCCCCCTAGAGAGTTAGTAATTGCAGTGTTTTCTGCACCACCATTCAGTGGCAGCACTCCTGTGAATAGGTGAAGAAATAAAAACAAAAAGGTTGTTTACTGCAAAATACTGCAAAGACAACGCGTCTTTCTAGTATGTTCAAATCATGAACAAATTAATTTTAGTAACTAATTCTTTTAATGATTAGAAACTTTGAAAAAACAACACCAAAAAGATTGGTTTGAATCAATCTGATGAATTAACTTGTCAGAGCTGTTACTGAAGTGATGTCCTACTCGAAATGAAGCAAAAACTGGCATTCTGTAGAAAACACTGGTTGGTTAGTTCAAATAAGGTATGTGACCTAACTGCTAGATCTAGTAAATAACAAAAAGATTCAAACAAATACCACAGCCATTTATTGCTGTTTAAATCTACAGTGTTCCGATTTAATGTCATTTAAATATTTTACAACAATTCCAATTTGGAACACAGGAACAAATATGATATAATTCAAACCATCAGCTTTAAACTTGTGTGTTCGGGAATGGGAGCCGTTTAAACCTTGGAATAAAACGAAGAGCACATTTCTCCACAAAGCGAGCCCACAGTCCCATTAGTTAAGTTTCCATGTTGTCACAGCACCTCTTCAACAGCTGGGCGCACTTCGTCTTTCAAATAAGAATATAGATCCACCTCAGGGTCATCCAGATCAATGTGGAGGAATTTCTCCACCACTTCTGCACACCTGAATCAGAAAATATATTTTAAGTAGTTAAGGAGAGAATTTCAGAATAATACTGTTTCGCTGTCCAGAACCATCCTTTACCTGCTGTTCTGTTCATCTGTAGTTGGCCGGTCCATCTTTCTGATGGTTCGTCCCGCTCTATATAACTCTGATACCTGCACAGATCATGATATTTAGGAGATTAAATCCTATAATGTCAACAAGGGATTAAATTTAAAAAACAAATACATCAGCATGCAAAATTTTATTTAACTTTGTGTTCCATTCAACTGATGGATTTGATGGATTTTCCAAACTACTCCTTGGAAAAATTTAATAGAACGCTACTCAGAGTAAAAAATAAATAAATAAAAAAATGTATGTGAATATTCACAACTCATATTACACACAAGCAGGACATCAGATAAATATGGTGATTAAATGTTCAAAGAACATTTAAAAGTAATTTTCCCATAGTGTTTGCAAAATTATAACATAGAAAGTTCCCTTAATGTTTTATCTAATGTTTGCATAACCAAAAAAAAAAAGTGTTTTAAATGTATTTTCGTTCAGGGGCAATGAAACACCTTCAAAAGAAGGACATAGCAAGTAGAAACGTCCCACATCTGACTTGAATAGAATGCATTAAAATGACTGTAAGAAGTATTTCAGTGTCATACCTCCACTGCCCTCTTGACCAGGTCAGTGGGAATGCCGGCCAGAGTGGCGATATTAGCCGCACAACTCGACTGGCAGATGCCATTTTTTACTTGGTACAAAAATACCAGCTCTTCGCCCTCTATAGCTGTCTCTAGAGTCTGTCAAACAAACAAAAAATGGTCTTGAAATCACAGTGATAGAAACTAAAAAAACAATGACAATGATTTTCCTATGATAGCATTGTTAAAAGCCTATTTCTGTGGCACCTGTAAAGCCAGCAGTGGGGAATCAGAGATCAAGCCAAGCTGAATAAGGCTGTGAAAGCATGTCGACATAAGTACGTGAGGACACTGAGGCCCACGCAACCAGAGATTGAGACATGCGGTCAGGAGAGACAATCCATCCACCTTAATCATAAACACACACACAATATTAGTTAAAATGCCTCCTTGCTCTTCTTGAAGTCCTGTTTGCTCCTCCTGGCTCTACCACTCTTACCGTGTTGGTTCCTTTGCCAAATTCATCCACCAGGACAAGAGAATTTGCAGTGCTGTGGTTCAAAGAATGAGCCATCTAGATTGAACAGGAATTATAATTATTAGAAAACATCTGAAGGATGATATTGCAATTAGCTATGTAAATATTTTTCAATGGCTGCCTTGAAAACGCTGTACAAATGCATGCTGCATCAATGAAAGACATGACCTTTGGGTAAGATTCACAAAATCGGATGATCTGAGATGGATGTTACAATTTGTTTTTATATAAATAAAGTGTATACAGGGCATTTGTGTGTACAGGGTTAGTGTGAGATGGTCTCACCTGGTTCAGGTCTATCATGAAGGTGCTCAGACCCACTGATACAGACTCACGGCTGTGTATGCGGCTGAAGATTCCGTCCACAAGCCCGATCTCTGCCTCTTTAGCGGGAACATCTGAGCCGATCAGAGCCATGAACACAACCAGACCCACCTTTCAAGACCAAACAGAATACAGGATTTTACAAAAAATGATGAAATGCCAACATTCAGGATTTTTCCCATTGTCATGGAATGCTGTATTTAGTTCCTTAAGTCTAATTTTTAAGCAAAGCTCCTTTCAAGGAAAGTCTGTTCACTCTGTGGATATTTGCAATGCCCCTGTAGCGCTGCAGTGATGATGTATTTTTGTAGGCCAACCCGGAAGTTCGCATCACCCTGGTTCCTTCAACAAAAACCCCAAATGATGTTTCCATTGGCTTTTGGATTATTGCAGAAAATCATCTTTATGACTAACAAAAAAATTTTGTCATCGTGATAATCTTCACAAATGAACACAACTTTATGTATTTTGAAGCATAAATACAATCGGCATTAGTCAAAAGCTAAACGTAGGCTATGAAGAAACTTCACCACAGTCGCTCGACTTCAACGTCACCATCACTAAGCACTAAGCTTTGTCAAACAAAAAAGCATCCTTCCTGCTGCAGCCTTCCTCCTTTTTTGAAGCATTTAATCAAAAGCCCGTTCAAAAAACTGCTGAAAATGCTAAAATGTTATCTTGTTTCAAGGTTTTGGCCCAAAAAAAAATACATCATTCCTGCAGCAATCTATTGTGGACATGCAACTCCTGCCCACATGAATGGGGAAAATACAGAGAGATTGCCAAACTCACATTTAAATAAAATATTTCAAATCAGCAATAAAAATCTGCAATGTACTGACCCATAAATGTTGTTTCCTATCCTTAAATATCATTTAAAAAATGTGTATTTAACTTGGTCCAGCCAATGCGCATGTACAGTCTGAAGCGCACATCTCAGAACACTTGACTGTTGCTATAGGAACTGGAGCTTTTAATGGCAGAAATGACTTTACCAACTGCTGATTGGCTCTTTCATTTAGAAGGAGGGACTTATTCCACCATATTGCACTTTCTCCCATTCATAGTAATATGAGTAAACTGTCTTACAGTCTTTGTTTTAAAGTGTAAATTGCAGGTTAACCACCACAACCAATTAATGTGTAAATTAAAGTGCTTAATATGTATACATTTAAAAATTTCTGTCTTAAAATGCCTTAAAATAACATTTTATTGGGGTTTCTTCAAAGGTAGCATGTTTTTTACCGTAACTGGGTGATGACGTTGTCAACAACACGCGCTTGAACCCCCTGCTGGTGAGGTCGACTAACAGCAGATGGAGATTATGCTCGGTAATCTACTACTTTTCCTGCAGCTCCTGGATGTCAACGTTGAATTTACTGTCGAATTTGAACCACTGAATTTGTGGAAGCGAATTTGAAAGCGAAATAAAATGTACCGAAACCCGCCTGTGGAATATTATTGTTACATGTGTGTCCTGTGTTTCCCCCTGCATTGTGTTTTGGTTCAGTCCTGTATCTCAGTTTTCCCGCTCCTCGTTTGTGTTCAGTTCCAGAAGTATGTAGACGCCCCAGTTCACCTCGATCCGGAACCCGCTGCATACCTCTCTAAGAACTCAGTGTCCCTTGCTGCACCCGAGATGCCCGAGCCAGAGCTTCCGCCGCTGGTCCCGTCCAGCACCGATCCCGAGCCTTCACTGCTGGTCCAGCCTGAGTCTCGTCCCGCCGAGACCGTCCAGCCTGAGTCTAGTCTCGCCGAGACCATCCAGCCTGAGACCGTCCAATCTGAGTCTCATCCTCCCGAGCCCTTTTCGTCGCTGGTTCCGACCAGCTCAAAGTCCTCTTCGCTGCTGGTCCTGTCCAGCTCAGAGCCGTCTTCGCCGCTGGTTCCGTCCAGCCCAGCCAAGCCTGCACCGCAGCTTCCCGTCGCCTGCCCGCCAGAGCCTGAGCCCGTCGCCTGCCCGCCAGAGCCTGAGCCCGTCGCCTGCCCGCCAGAGCCTGAGCCCGTCGCCTGCCCGCCAGAGCCTGAGCCCGTCGCCTGCCCGCCAGAGCCTGAGCCCGTCGCCTGCCCGCCAGAGCCTGAGCCTGTCGCCTGCCCTCCAGAGCCCGAGCCCGTCGCCTGCCCGTTAGAGACTGAGCACACCGTACGTGAGTACATCCAAGAGGACACTGCGCTGATTGTAATGTCTGCGGCGATCCTGTATGTGTGGGCTACACGAACATCAGCTACAGCCCATGAACTCAGCCCCGAGTTTCCCAAACCACTGGTTCCGTCCAGCCCAGCCAAGCCCTCACTGCTGGTTCAGTCCAGCCCAGCCGAACCTTCTCCGCTGGTCCCGTCCAGCACTGCCGATCCTGAGCTTCCCTGCAGCCCTGCCGAGCCTGAGCTTCCCTGCACGCCTGCTGAGCCTGAGCTTCCCTGCACGCCTGCCGAGCCTGAGCTTCCCTGCACGCCTGCCGAGCCTGAGCTTCCCTGCACGCCTGCCGAGCCTGAGCTTCCCTGCACGCCTGCCGAGCCTGGGCTTCCCTGCACGCCTGCCGAGCCTGAGCTTCCCTGCACGCCTGCCGAGCCTGGGCTTCCCTGCACGCCTGCCGAGGCTGGGCTTCCCTGCACGCCTGCCGAGCCTGGGCTTCCCTGCACGCCTGCCGAGCCTGGGCTTACCTGCACGCCTGCCGAGCCTGGGCTTACCTGCTCGCCTGCCAAGCCAGAGTTTCGCGTCACGCCTGCCGGGCCGGAGCTTCGCGTCACGCCGGCCGAGCCAGAGCCTTCTCCGCTGGTCCCGTCCAGCCCTTCAGAGCCTTCTCCGCTGGTCCCGTCCAGCCCTTCAGAGCCTTCTCCGCTGGTCCCGTCCAGCCCTTCAGAGCCTTCTCCGCTGGTCCCGTCCAGCCCTTCAGAGCCTTCTCCGCTGGTCCCGTCCAGCCCTTCTGAGCCTTCACCGCTGGTTCCATCCAGCATAGCCGGGTCTTCACTGCTAGCCCAGCCAGAGACTTTCCACGTCCCGTCTGCCCACCCAGAGACTGTCCACGTCCCAGAGCCTGTCCCAGAGCCTGTGATTCCCCCCAAGAAAGTTTTGGGGGGGGGATATAGGCCACCTGAAGGTGCGTCTCCGCCATGGCCGCCCGAAGGTGCATCTCCGCCATGGCCGCCCGAAGGTGCGTCTCCGCCATGGCCGCCCGAAGGTGCGTCTCCGCCATGGCCGCCCGAAGGGGATTCTCCGCCATGGCCGCCCGAAGGTGCGTCTCCGCCATGGCCGCCCGAAGGTGCGTCTCCGCCATGGCCGCCCGAAGGGGATTCTCCGCCATGGCCGCCCGAAGGGGATTCTCCGCCATGGCCGCCCGAAGGGGATTCTCCGCCATGGCCGCCCGAAGGGGATTCTCCGCCATGGCCGCCCGAAGGGGATTCTCCGCCAGGACCGCCCGAGGGGTGGTCACCTACTCCGCCATGGCCCCCTGACCAGCCTGCTCCGCCCTGGAGGCTTCCTGCTCAGGGTAGGCCCTGCCCTCGTCAGCCTCCAGGGCGCCCGCCCCCCCACCCCTATTGAAGTTATACGGCGCGAGGACGCGCCTTTTTGGAGGGGGCGTTATGTTACATGTGTGTCCTGTGTTTCCCCCTGCATTGTGTTTTGGTTCAGTCCTGTATCTCAGTTTTCCCGCTCCTCGTTTGTGTTCAGTTCCTTCACCTGTTTCTAGTTAATTTGCCCCAGCTGTGTCTTGTTCCCATGATCCGTTCTCTGTGTATGTAAACCCTGTGTTCTCCCTCACTCCTGGTCGGTTCTCGTTTATGTAAGATGTGTGTATCCTCTGTCTGTTTTCCTGCCTGTACCAGTTTGATTTATTAGTAAAGTATATTGTTTTTGGAAATCCTGATCTCCTCGTGCTTCCTGCCTACACACACCGTAACAATTATAGGTTGTATTTTTAATCAGCTTGAATATTTTGTAAGTGAAAAATGAAAGGTGAAAATGGATTATTGAAATTGTACTAATGAAAATGTGTTTGAAATTGAGCGTCAGCGTCAGTTCTGGCAGGCCAGGTAGTCAAGCCGCTGCTTATGCTATTTGCTATCAACACTGTCCCGTCAGCTGATCTGCTCCAGCTGAGCTGCATTAGCTGGTTAACTCCCCTCGCTGCGCAATGGCCAAAGCTCAAACAAGGCGCCCTATTTAAAGCTCATTCACCTTGCTCATACATGCTCGCTGCTCGCTTCCGCTGGCTCGCTGCTCGCTTCTGCTGCAATATTGACACAGGACTCGACGTGATTCGTTCTCCATTCATCTCTGAAAATCTTCACGAAGCTAAGTTCCTTTTTAATATTCATTGCTAAAAGCTATCAGTGTGTTGGCAACATCCTTCTTGTTAATGCTATCCGTGTGGCATTTGGGCTTATCTAACTAATCGTTTTCATAAAAATGCTTATGCGATCATATTGGCTACGTGCGTTATCTGTTGTCATTGGCAACTGATCGCGTTGCTCACGCTGGCTTTTACCACTATGCAGCGCAGATTCAAACAGCTTGCTGTGATAGGAATTCACTTCTGCGGACTGCCTTTTCGGACAGTATACAGCTCATTCTAACGCATTGTGCAACAACTACGGCGGTGACACTCGCTCCGGTTTAACCCTTTAAGCTATGGGGCGGTGGTTTCTGCTGCTTACCAACGATACCTCCGTCTCGATGTTCGGGATATTCTTGACGACCAGAAGCCATGAGCTCAAGTCTCTGATTTGTTTCATTAATAAAACACATTTGATCATCATTTTGCTCGCGCTCTGCTCAGTTAACGCCCCTGAATGCGCTATCAGCTGTTAATTTATTCATCTAGCTCGTTCTCAGAGGTGGATTAGTCATCTATCCATAGAGCTTACACTGTAGACTGTCAAACAGTTAAATACAGATAATCTAGGTAACAGCATGTTTTAGCTATTGCGGTCTTGATTAGTCATTTCAGTAATTAATTAATATTTTTACTATTATAAATCGCTAAATTAGGGCGGCTCAGTCGACACCGTTCGAGACACTCAATTTTGTTTTGGGGGGAATAGCTCGTGTGGTCAAATAAATCATCCTCTGAATCACAGAGGATTGCCAGGTGTGGTTTTGTTTGGGGGGATATTTTAGCTCTCACAGTCTAAAACTGTGTGAGCGTTCCCTAATGCTGCTGCTGCTGTCCTCTGACTCTCTGCTATTTCATGGTGCTCATGAAAGGTCAGAGGACTCCCTGAACAGAGCCATACCGCCAAATTTCAATTCAGGAACATCAACCTGTTTGCAATCTATTCAAATTAATTCTTAATTATTTTGTCTGTGTGTTCTTGACTTAATGGACCTGACAGAAATTGAGCGTCAGCGTCAGTTCTGGCAGGCCAGGTAGTCAAGCCGCTGCTTATGCTATTTGCTATCAACACTGTCCCGTCAGCTGATCTGCTCCAGCTGAGCTGCATTAGCTGGTTAACTCCCCTCGCTGCGCAATGGCCAAAGCTCAAACAAGGCGCCCTATTTAAAGCTCATTCACCTTGCTCATACATGCTCGCTGCTCGCTTCCGCTGGCTCGCTGCTCGCTTCTGCTGCCCGCCACCTCCCCAGCTCCTCCTTATGCATAACGTGGCATTTGCTATGTCATGTTGCCTGCTCTGTTCACAGGGGGATATTTTAGCTCTCACAGTCTAAAACTGTGTGAGCGTTCCCTAATGCTGCTGCTGCTGTCCTCTGACTCTCTGCTATTTCATGGTGCTCATGAAAGGTCAGAGGACTCCCTGAACAGAGCCATACCGCCAAATTTCAATTCAGGAACATCAACCTGTTTGCAATCTATTCAAATTAATTCTTAATTATTTTGTCTGTGTGTTCTTGACTTAATGGACCTGACAGAAATGATTTGAATTGAAATATTCACAGCCTAAATATTCAACCATGCTAAATTTCAGCCCATAAAAATGCAAGCCCTAAAAATACAATGCATTAAAATACAAGCAGGGTTAATGCAATGCATATATTTTTTTTCAAGTAGTACAATTCAACAGGCTTTTTGTTTCAAAAACATTTGTCATTATTTTACTTCCATACGGGAGCGGGACAAAACATACATGTTGCGGGCGGGAGAAAGTAATATAGAAAGTAGTTGAGAACGTCAGTTATAATGACCCACGTATTAAAAAATAGTCGGGTTTAAACCGGGCTCGGGCTCATAATTACAGTTAATGTGTCGGGCAGGGCCGGCCTGGGCTCGGACACAACGGGCTCGGGTAGGGTCTTGCTTGATTTTTTTGGGCCCGATCTAAGCTCTACCTCGGGTAAGTTATGCTAACACTTACAGGCACGAATCAGCCGTTTGTCCTTGGGTAACTTGTGGAGCCTCTCCCCCGTTTTTGATGTATTCGTACATCCCGCACAAACACAATAGTTAACCATTTTTGCTAGCTAGGTCTCCAATATAACGTAACTCTAGGCCTGGAGCATAGACAGTAAAAGCTTGGAGTACCTTTTATGACGTCACGCCCAGCTAGTGGAAGGGAGGGGGCGTGCTTAAAACCACTGTAAAACGTACCAACTTTTCATATTATATTCAGCATTTTGGTATAAAAAACATAAAAAAACAATGGTGGACGGTTCTTATCTTTATGTTCAGTAAGCACATTGCATTATCTTCGTGAAATTTTTTACCTGCAATTTACACTTTAAGTATTGTTGTGAAATTTCATTTATCACAAATAAGTTCAATTTACAGTGTTATGTGAATGTAAGGCCTGTAAAGTTTATTGCTGCATTTGCCTGTTTTAGATAGATGCTCTTGCCGGATGAGTTTGGTCCTGTAATGACTTTCACTTTGCCTTCAGTTTCAGAGCTGATGTAGTTGTTTGACACAAATACTGGGGTACACAGCTCCAGCAAAGGATGTCTGAAAGAAAAAGAGTGGAAGAACTCCAAAAAAACAAAATGTAACATTCATTTCATTATAAGAGTTGATTTTTACCGTGACTCAATCAGGGCCAGTCTTTGGCTTGGAGTCAGGGTTGGACAGCAGTAGCCTTGATCCCGAGAGGCCTGAGCCAGAGAAATGAGACAGTCCAGCTCTGCACACAGGGACATGACCTTATGCAAACAGCCGCTATGCTGAAGCACTGAGGCCTGAAGCTTCCTCATTACCGCCATCTCCATATCTACAAAAAATAACAGGGTTACGTACCGTTTAAAGACATAGGGAAAGAAAGAAAGAAGGAAAGACAGACCTAGGATGTCACAATGCAGGTCTCCCAGCATGCTGTCCAGCTCTTTGGTTCGAGTGCTGCGGTAATGCAGTTGGTCTTTTGCTAGAAACTGAAATAATTCAAAAATAAAACACAAACATCAGCTCTTACCAACCCTTCAAACTTGAATGGGTCAAAGACAAAGAGGCCTGATGTATTTACTTCACATGTGCACATTAAATTGGAAAGGAGGCACGTCTGATCCATACACATTCATGTTGGTAAGATTTGCAATCTTTAATCTTAAACAGCAGTGAGTTTATAGGAACCAAAAATAGAAAAGCACACATAAGACTGAAATTATCTGTGATCTGAATGGAATCTGTGCATTAAGCAGTTCAGGCCAAATTAACTGCAAAAGTATAAAACAAACCCTAACCAGGACATTTAAGGTTATGGAATTGTGTTGCCTTATAAACACTGTAATAAAAAGCACTGGCATACTCACGATGAAATCAAGACCCTCCATCTCGAAACTCTGTTTATCCATCATGCTGGGTAATTTTGGCACTGACAGTAAAAATCCAATCTGTCATCAAACACAGAATGAAATACCAGGATGTCATCATGTATATCAGTTAAAAAATGTAATCACTATCCATCAACATTTATACAGGCATTTTATTATACTTGCTCTAACTAAATTTGCCTTGAAATGCATACCTTACGCTGCTCAGTTATCAGTTAGCATCTCTAAAATCTACTCATTTTGTTATTTCAATGATAAGATCTCCTAAGGTGAAAAGTGTAATTTTTTATGTTAAAATACTTCTGTCAATGTTTAATATGCAGAGACCTCTATAAGTAAACCTTTAATAGGCTGATTTTCCCCAGAAAGTGTGGTGCTTTCAACAGTGCAGTGTGTTTTATATGGCATGAGTTTGCATGAACGATGGAACAAGAAGAGGATTAGCTTTTGGGAAATATGTTTGGAAACAATCATTATTTTTGCAATTCTGTTTGGTGGCACAGATATGTCACAAAATATGAAATTCTGTGACCAATTACAAGCTATTTCACTATTTAATAAAACAGCGGTGCTTGCTGCTTTTGCTAACCCAGATGAGATGCAATAGCCATTACTACAGTTGTTACAGCTGCTTGTCATTTAGCTGCACTGTACACTAATTACAGGAACAGTCATCCTGGAGCAAGTTGGGGTCAAGTGGCCTGCCCAGGGGCACAATGCCAACCTTACTGACTCTTCATTTATTGGCTCGCTCTAACATGGATTTTAACCTGCAACCTTTATGTTAACAGCTCAGTGTCAACAATTAGGTTACACATCACATTTTAATGAACGAAGAGGACCGTTAATCACGTCCTGACCAGAGGGATGTAGATTATACTGCAGGTGGAGAAACGAGGGTCCAGGTTTTCCAGCTCTGTACGAGCCACGTCTGTCAGGAAATTTGGCAGACCCATCATCCTTCTTTTCTCTGTAAAGAGGATAAAACAAAAATATAAAATGTATATAATAAAAGTGAAGCAAACGTTTACAAATTTCATGATTCAAACCACTGAAATAATAACTGCGTGCTTGTGGCCTTTTCCAAAATACAGATCATTTAAAAGGAATAGTCACTTTTTTATAAATTGTTTTAGAGAAATTATTAATTATTTGAAAAAACGTTTTGTCTGATGTTGGTTGGAATTGTCTATTGACCAAATGTCTTGCAGTTTGTGCACCTCATCAGCATTGTGTTTTGTAGTAAGCGTGCTGCTATGACAAGACCACAATAGATGACAAGAAACTGTGTAGTGTGAGCACCACAGCAACTCAAGTAGTCTTACAGTCCTGCAGTGTGAGCTTGCCCTTACTCACAGACCTAGAATTATTCACTGATAATTAGAAATAATCAAAGAATTATCAGGAATCAACTAAAAACATCCTACAGATGTGCTGACAAATAAGACTGATTATATCTTAAATCTACATTGCAAAAAACAACAATAGTGTAAACAAATCAGAATCGAATCGGTAGTCTTGCACGTCCACAGGAAATAGCTTACGTTCACATTGAAAAATAAAGAATATTCCCAGTTATCTGTGACAAATAAATCAGCCACCGATATATTGTGCAACTTTAGTTACAATACAATCAAAACCAAAACTGAAGAAATCCATGGAAACCACTCACTCTCGTCGATAACAGGGTCGACATCCGGCCTAACAGTGAATCGGTTCTCGGCTAAACTTCCTTCAAAGTCCACCTGCAATGGAGAATGACAAAGTCAAAGCAATTACATTAAATCAGTAATAATTTAACATAAACATTGGTTAAAACCATGCACTGCTTCCATTATTCAGTCTCACCACTTTACTGATGTATGTGGCGATGTAGAAAAGATCATCGGTGAAGTTCTCACTGATTTCACTGAAAAGTTGGATGGATTGGGGCATGGAGCGAATGGTGTCCCTAATGCACAATGCACTGTACACCGTCTTATAAAGGAGAAACATGGGGGGGAAAATCAAACCAGGATAGCCAAGCCTCTTTAGGAGGAATAAATTTACTTAATTAACCCACCACACCTTATATAGACTTTGCCAGACTGCGACCTTCGGAGTAGAGAGAGACATTTTATGCAGCAATGTCTATATGAAAGACAAGTTAAGAGTCAGTTCATTTGGGGGACATTTTGCTGTTTGGCTCTGCTAAATATTGAGCGTTATACAAAATGTTGAAAACTGTACCACGATGTTCTTAATATTCCGCAGGCAACTCTGTAAAGTGCAAAGATCAGCAAAGTTACGAGGGGATGTGAAGAAACGGACCACTTCCTGCCGTCTATTCAGGATGTTCAGATCTCGAGTTGGTCTGTGGAACCACTGCCTGAAACAAACAGAGGGGGAAAGGAAGTCTATATTTCATCCAATAAGGACTTAAACACCTTTTAAATGTGATAAAGTCTCTGTTATAAAACTAGGGGACATTACCGTAAAAGCAGCGATCCAAACTTGCTCCGACAGCGATTCAGAATACCTACAGAAAGCACACATAGTTTTCCCACAAATATAAAGAACTAAAACTATTCTTAAAGGAATAGCTAACCCTAAAATTTAAATTCTGTCATCATTTATTCCAGTTCACTTTTATTGCATGATTAGCATGAATATTCTTCAGAATTTTTTGCATTGACTTCTCCTATAGTGTTGCATGGACGGTTTGTAAATGATGTGAGAGTGCGTAAATGACGACAGAACATAACTTTCCATAAACTAAAGCAGGCTTTTTCAAAGTGTGGGGTGCACCTCCCCAGGGGGGCAGCAGAGCATGTCATGTCGCAAAAGTGGTAAAACTGATATTTTTTTTAAATTAATTCATTATTGAATAATAATTTCAATCAATACATTATAGCGGAAACAGTACTTTAAATAGCGAAAAGAAGCAAGTTTTTCGCCGTAAATCGTAAAGTTGGCTTCAGAGCAAGATCTCTCTCCTACTGTACGTATTTTGTGATAGTTTTGGAGCAGCCCATTCTCATTGTGCTGACCGACGGATCTAAACAACCAACCGCTGCATGAACATAATAATACACAAACTACATCTCTAGATCGACGCACATTCTGATGATCACTACTGAAAATTTGTACAAATTGGGGAGTGGCGAGGTGCCATTGTGTACAGTGTTAAAAAGTCTCACTGTCTTCGACTTTAAAATTCCTTGAACTAAAGCAACAACCATTTTCAACTTTTCTCAGTACCCACTTACATCGAAAGTATGACTGAAACTTTCGATATGTTTACAAGACTGCAACTCCGCGGATAAAAAACAAAACACACAAATAAACCACACACTTGGGTTTGATTTGGGTTGTGCTAGCCTGTAGCTGTCTGTGTGTTACATAAACTAAATGAACGACTGAACGTTTATATATAATATTTTCTGGCTAGTTTACTTTAGTTTTTTTTATATATATAATACACAACTTTCACCCAAACTGAATAATTAAAAACAATTTTTTACCGGGTAGCCTAAATCTTCTATAAATATTTTTGAGTCTTTATTTTCTTTTATTTGCCTACTCAAGTTCTTGTTAAAACGTACTCGGTTACTAACGTAACCTCGGTTCTCTCTAGAGAGGGAACGAGTACTGCGTTATAGCTTACGCTAGGGGAAAAACTCTTTTTTTTTTGAAGCCAATATTGAAGCCAAAAATTATCCTTAATTTTTTATAAATGTAAAACGCTTTGCAGCAGCAAGCAGACATAGGCGAAACAGCTCGCGCGCCTATTGGTTGCTCTGCAGCAAATGCAGCAGCCTATCGAGAGAGACTCTGCGTGACGTAATGACCAATGGGGGCAATTCGCGCCCATATCGTCACGTCCCGCCAGAAGGGGCGTGGTCTCACCCTATAAATATGCTTGTTAGGCTGGTACAAGCTGGTTTTTATCGCTGAAGCGAACCAGAGCGTATTCCAAGCACGGCAAGATACGCAGTACTCGTTCCCTCTCTAGAGAGAACCGAGGTTACGTTAGTAACCGAGTACGTTCTCTTACGAGAGTATCTCTCGTACTGCGTAATAGCTTACGCTAGGGGAACACAATGCAACACGCCGTGCGTACAGGGATCCAACACCAAAGTCCCGGGGGCCGAAGCCCAGGGCTCATGTAGTGCATAATCACCATAAACTCACATAGAGTGGAGGAAGAGAGGCTGGAAGCGTCATTCCCTATAAAAAAGCACCCAGAGGGGCTATAATATGACAATAAAACGCGCAGCCAGGGTGAAAGCTTTCAGCCTGATCTAGGTGGCCATACGTGTGTCAACACTCATGGGGCTACAGTAAACTCAGCATCTGGGCCGCACAGCGGGGCAGATAGCACTGAATTTTAGACCGCCAAAAGCTTAGCTTGTAAGGCGGGTACCTCCAGGTTATAGTATTTTATAAATGTAGACGGCGAGGCCCAGCCCGCGGCCGTACAGATATCTTGCAGGGAAACCCCGCTCGACCACGCCCACGAAGAGGCCACGCCTCTTGTGGAGTGCGCTCTGACACCCAAGGGGCACTGTAGGCCCTTCGCAGAGTAAGCGAGCGCAATGGCATCCACTATCCATCTGGATAGGCTCTGTTTTGAGGCGGCGACACATAAGCTCTCAATGCCCTGACGGGGCAAAGGAGACTCGCATCCTCCTCCTCACTGAGAACCGGAAGGGCGGACAGGGAAATTACCTGGGCCCTGAACGGTGTATTGAGGGATTTCGGGACATACCCGTGCTTTGGTTTGAGAATGACCTTCGAGTCATTAGGCCCAAACTCCATACACGACGCGCTTACTGAAAGCGCCTGTAAGTCCCCTATGCGCTTCACTGAAGCGAGAGCCATGAGAAACACTGTTTTGAACGACAGGTGTTTCATGTCCACCAGCTGGATTGGCTCGAACGGGGCGCCTTTCATGGCCTCCAGGACCGTGGAAAGGTCCCACGTCGGGACTGAAGGGGGCCTGGGAGGGTTCAGCCTCCGAGCTCCCCTAAGGAAACGCACGACTAAGTCGTTTTTCCCCAGCGACTGGCCAGACACCGGTTTTGCAAACGTTGCTATGGCCGCCACATATACTTTGAGCGTGGATGGGGTCCTGCCCTTATCCAGTAGCTCTTGAAGGAAGGAAAGCACTTCCGAAACCCCGCATTCCACAGGTGAAAAGCTCTGGGCTTGACACCATGCAGAGAAAACAGACCATTTCGAGGAGTAGAGCCGCCTGGTAGACGGCGGCTCTAGTGCGCGATCGTGTTTAACACTCCTTCTGGGAGTCTAGCGGGTACCCGTTGATGGCCCATGCGTGCAGGGACCACAACTCCGGGCGAGGGTGCCAAATCGAGCCCTCCGCCTGAGAGAGGAGGTCTCTCCTTAATGGTACAGGCCATGGGGCAGTGCTGGTCAGCTGCATCAGGGCAGGGAACCACGTCTGGTTTGTCCAGAGCGGAGCTACGAGCAGCACTGGGCATCCGTTCTCCCTGATTCGTTCCAACACCTGAGGCAGGAGCGAGACAGGAGGAAAAGCATATAGGGGGCAGCGGGGCCAAACATGAGCCAGCGCGTCCTTGCTTTTCGAGAAAAACTCCGTTTTCGTGGGACGCGAATAGGTCCACCTGTGCTCTGCCGAACGTTTTCCACAGCAGCTGGACCGTCTGCGGGTGCAGCGACCATTCCCCTGCTGGAACATTGTTCCTGGACAGTCTGTCTGGTCACACATTCAGGTGACCAGGCACGTGCGCTGCTCTCAGTGAGAGCAGGTTGTGCTGAGCCCAGACCAGGAGGCGTTCCGTCAGCCTGTGAAGGTTTCGTGACCTGACGCCGCCCTGGCGATTTATGTATGCCACCACTGACATGTTGTCCGACCGGACCAAGACGTGGTGGCCTGTTACCTGGGGACAAAAACGCCGTAGCGCTTTGTCGACTGCTATCATCTCCAAGCAGTTTATGTGAAGGAGCTTTTCCCGTTCTGACCACAGGCCAGCTAGCGGTCTGCCCTCGAGAAGCGCTCCCCACCCCGAGGTGGAGGCGTCCGTAGACACCACCTTCACACTCGAAGCGGTCCCCAGACTCACACCTGACTGATACCAGTCGGTTATTTTCCAAGGTTCCAGAGCTGAAACACACTGAAGGTCGACCCTGAGGCGAAACAGACCCGCTGTCCATGCCCTGGGTGGAACCCGCGCTTTCAGCCACATCTGCAGTGGGCGCATGCGGAGCAAGCCCAACTGGAGTACAGAGGCTGCTGAGGCCATCAGCCCCAGCATTTTCTGAAACCTTTTGAGCGGAACTATCGCGCCGTGGCGGAAGGATTTCGCGCCGCGCTGAATATTTAGCCCGCGCTCTGGTGACAGGCGTGCTGTCATGGACAGCGAGTCCAACACGGTTCCCAGAAAGGAAATTTTCTGACTGGGAGACAGTGAGCTCTTCGCCCAATTGACTGTGAGGCCCAGCTCCTCGAGGTGCTCGAGTAATGCGGCCCTGTGTTCTATGAGCTCCGATCGTGATCGAGCTAGAATCAGCCAATCGTCCAAGTAGTTCAGGACTCGCATGCCCTGAAGTCTCAGGGGTGCGAGCGCCGCGTCCATGCACTTCGTGAATGTACGAGGTGCTAGGGACAGGCCGAACGGCAGGACTGTGTATTGATATGCCTGGCCCTCGAAAGCGAATCTCAAGAAACGCCTGTGATGGGACGCTATTTGTATTTGGAAATAGGCGTCTTTCAGATCTATTGACATAAACCAGTCCCCGTGGCGCACTTGCGCAAGGATTTTCCTGGTCGTAAGCATTCTGAACTGGCGCTTCACAAGCGCTCTGTTCAGCTGTCGCAGATCTAAAATGGGTCTGAGACCTCCATCTTTTTTCGGTACCAGAAAATATCTGCTGTGTAGGCCCCCTTTGCTCTGAGCTTGAGATAAAGGTTCTATAGCACCTTTGCTCAGTAGTTTCGCTATCTCGGCTCGAAGTAGATGAGATACTTCGTTTTCCACCGTCGTCTCGACGCGCGCCGTATAACGGCGGGGACGTCGAGCGAACTGTAGCGAATAGCCTCTTTTTATAGTGTTCAGCACCCATTCTGATACCCCAGGAAGCTGTGCCCACACTTTCGCGTGAATAGCTAGGGGTAGAATGAGATCTGGGCTCTAGCCGAGACATAGTGACGGCAAGAGAGCTCCGGCGTGCTGTAACACAGACACTGTGTTTACAGTGTGTGAGGCGGGGGGCGCGCCGATCGCGGCGGGCAGCCTGGCCGCGCTCAAAACCCTTATAGCAGTTTGCTGAGGGAGAGAGAGCGGGGCCAGCCCCGTGGGGCTTAACATGTCTGTGAGTGAATGTGGGCACAGGACAGCGGGCACATTTACTGCACTGAAAAACACCGTCGGCCTGAGCTGACTGAATGCGTGTTGGTTTCGTTTTCACAGAACCCGTGGGACATGTGGTGTGTAGTGTTTGTGGGCACTGAGACGTAGGCACATTCACTACATTTAGTGCACAATCGACATGAGGCGATTTTGTTTGTGCGAGCCCTGCATTTTTGCGGGCTGTGTTTGTGTATAGAAATGAGCCCTGGGTTGTAGGCATTTTCAATACACTCATAACACCATCGGCTGTGGCCGGAATACCAGAAAATACACCATTTATGTGATTTATCTGGGTCGCCGTGGGAACAGCATTTGTGTGCAGGCAAGCGGGCATGGTACTGGCTTGCTTACTGCAAAATACACTGGAACAGTCACATTTTCTGGAACTGAACGAGCGAAAATTTCAGTGGAAGTCTGGCCACGGCGAGACTGAAACACCGTCGATTTCCTAGGAGGCTAGGAAGACTTGTGTTGGTTTCGTTTTACAGAAACCGTGGTAGTGTTTGTGGGCACTGGGTTGTGGGCACATTCACTACATTTAATGCACAATTGACATGCGTCGATTTCATTTGTGCGAGCCCTGTACCGTGGCGGGCTGTGTTTGTGTGTAGAAATGAACACTGGGCTGTGAGCATTTTATTACACTTATAACACCATCGGCTGTGGCCGGAAAACCAGAAATACAATGATTACATGATTTTTCTGGGTCGCCGTGGAAACGGCCTTTATGTGCAGGCAAGCGGGCCGTGGTACCAGCTTGTTCACTGCAAAATACACTGGAACAGTCGCATTTTCTGGAACTGAACGAGCAAAAAGTTTTTGGTGGAAGTCTGGCCGCGGCGAGACTAAATTTTTATCTGCTGCGAGAGCCGGGATCGAACATGGGTCTCTCGCGTGAAAGCTTCGGGTTCCGCCACTGGGCCACAGGGAGAACTACACTAGCACAAGCAGATAAGAGAGCGTCATCACAGTTTTGTGTGTGTCGGCGTTTGTATGCAGGTGTGCGTGTTATACAACAGGCTCATTGCTGCAATAATGACATTTTCAGCCGCTCAAACTAGGAGCTGAGAAATGTTTAAGAAATGGAGATTAGTCCGGCCTCGGCGGGGACTAAAACACACTCTTTTCTCATTTGCCGGTGACGCACGCCCATGGGGGGCGGGGTAGATTTCTTATAACGTAAAGAAAGCTAGCCGCGGTTTTAGGGCTCGCGGTCTTGATGCTGGCCCGTTTCCTTGACGACTCGCGGACAGAAGGCAGAGGTCCACAGAGCTCGCCTGTTGCGCGGCGGTTGCGCGGGCGCCTCCCAATCGAGGCCGATGCTTTCCACGGCCTGAGAGAGCAGACGCATCAGCTCAGTCTCAATGCCGGCTCTCTTACCAGTGGTCTGGCGGGAAACGCTAGCGGAGGGGAGGTCCACGGAGCTCGCCCAATCCTCGCTATCGGATGCCAGAAGAGAACACGCCTCGGTGGGTTCGTCGAACTCGTGGACGGACGCGGCGGCAGGCGGCGGCCGTTGTCCGTCAGTGAGCGACTCGAGCGAAGCTGGCGGGCGAACCGGCGAGCTTTGGCGGGCTGGAGAAAGCTCGGGAGCGCGCTGGGCGCGGCGCTTCTTGCGGCGCGGCACCACGGCGGGCTGCGGTGAAGGCTCGGAGAATGATGCCAGGCGAGTCCTCAGAGTCACCATAGGCAAAAACTCGCAATGAGGGCATCCGCCGTCAGCGAGCGCGAGAGCCGCGTGATCCTCACCCAGGCAGGAAACACAGATGACGTGCCGGTCTCCATCGCTGAGCGGGGCGCGGCACGAGCCACAGGAAGACATCTTTAAAAAGACGCAGCTCTTTTGTGAGAGAAGTGTGAGTCGCGTCAAGTAAGCGAGCAAACACTCTCAACAGAGTAAATACACACAGAGTATAAAAGGATATAGAACGCCGGAAAGCGCAGCAGGTACGGCAGTTGAAGGCGGCGAGGCCAGCGACTCCAGAGCTCGTCCCGCTGAAAGACTTGCTTCGACGGCGCGGCTTCTCACTCCGGATCCAGCGATGCGTGTGCGTCGCTGAAGAGATAAAAATCAGCTTGTACCAGCCTAACGAGCATATTTATAGGGTGAGACCACGCCCCTTCTGGCGGGACGTGACGATATGGGCGCGAATTGCCCCCATTGGTCATTACGTCACGCAGAGTCTCTCTCGATAGGCTGCTGCATTTGCCGCAGAGCAACCAATATGCGCGCGAGCTGTTTCGCCTATGTCTGCTTGCTGCTGCAAAGCGTTTTACATTAATAAAAAATTAAGGATAATTTTTGGCTTCAATATCTCGTGGAAAAGAGTTTTTCCCCTAGCGTAAGCTATTACGCAGTACGAGAGATACTCTCGTAAGAGAACTCACTAGACATGCTTATTCTGTGCATTTTGGGCACTTTTTGTGTGAAATCATATTTATTTTTGTCCATCAAAAGTGTGCTTTCACTTTAATTGGGCGTGAGCAGAGCAGCAAAAACAGACTCGCCGCTCCTGCTCCCGTTGTGAATGCACTCATTGATTAACATGCACGGTGAAAAAAATACGCGCCGCTCACGCATGCGGTGTGAAACGGCCGTTAGATACACGCCATCGTGTACACATAAATCTCTGACCCATCGTCGTCTTCCTTGTCTTCTGTCGCTCTGCATACGTTTCTGATTGGTGCCTCGATTTCGGCGGATTGGAAATGAGCTTGAATGAGCTCTTTGCCAGACTAACTTTCAGAGCAAATCTAAATTTGCCGGAAGTTGTCTGGGTTTTCCCAGGCTAACGTACAGGCGCATTTGATAGACATTCTTAGCACCCAATAAACGGCTCTGGGCATTCGTAAACCATTTTCTCAAATACGACGTTAGCCAGGCTAGTTTTTCGCTACAATTTTCTACAATTTGCTACCGCTCCCCTGTGTGCACCCCAGTTTTAAAAAAACCTGCACTAAAACACAACAGGATTTAATTAACTGTAGATGGTGGACAAAAGAATATGTTTTACCATAAAGACTCAATCCCTCTTTCTCTCCTGACTGGAGTTTAAAGACGGAAGGATGCAGCTCAGATTTAAAGATCTGTAGTGCGCTGAGGAAGAAGTGCAAACAGGTTTTTACATCTCTAAAAAGTAGAACGAATGGAACAAATAAAAGGACCCGTTCATACAACCAACCTGTATGTGTCTCTGTCGATGTACACAACATCCTTCCTGCAAATTAAAGAGTGCAAAACAGATTTTTAATCAGTTAATTAATTGCAGTTGGTAACTTTTGACCTAACGCGTTTATAACATTGATTTAAGTAGTATAATATTGCACCATATTGATAGAAAATACAAAGAGAAAGAAAAATTATTCCACTTTCTGTTATCAACAACATGAAGTGCGTTACATTACTTGAGGGTTTCCCCTCGAGGAACTGCAGATTACATATAATCAGTTACTACCAAGCACTGTATACATATAATGTATATATATAGTATTTATAGTATCATATAGTATTATAGTATTATATAGTATTTGTTGTTTACTTTATTGACTGTTTTGTATTTCCTGTAGTTATTATTTTTCCTTTTTGTACAGGTCAACTTCGGTTGGTTTAAAATGTGCTTTATAAATAAATACGGTATTCTATTGTATTGTAATCACTGGAAAAATTAGAACAACTGTATATTAAATCATTGGCTGATGTATCAATGTCTTACAGCGTGTACGTCAGAAACTGAAATATGGGGACGCCTAAGCAGTCCTCCAGGTCTAAGCTGACTCTTCTCCTCTCCAGACACTTCAACAGTCCTCCTATTGACCTCACCTACGACAAAGAAGATTACCATGACATGCCTGTTCATTTATCCAGCATAAATCATCTCTGATGTCTCACCATCAGCACTGAGTCTAGTGGGATGCAGGAGGAGAGATACGGGATCTTCTCGCTCTCTGTGATGGTGGGAGGGAGAAAGCGGAGGTGTGCGGAGAGAAGTCGCTGTTTGCTGACCTCCAGACCTGCAGAGGATGGGAGAGGATCAATTACTGTGAGACATTTTTCACTAAGCTGGTAAAACGCTGCAAAATGTCATGCACACATATGCAGTATTTGACAATACCTCTATTTGTTATGATTCATTTTTTTATTGGTGTATATATACACAGTATATGACAGATTTTGGGGAAAGACTGGCCAGATCTAAACGTTATGCACATCGAAGCTTTTTGTGTCATTTTTTTTTTTTTTTTTGAGTTCTACAGAATCCCCATCCAGGAAAAGAGCAGAACATCCTGCTAAACTTTTTTTGTGTGTTACACAGAATACAAATATCCATGGAAATTGTGATAGAGAGCAAAATAAAGCTATAGGTGAAAACTTACCAAAGTTTGAATCTGGAAACATGACGATTTCAGGCTTATACTCATGGTTTAATTCTGAAATTAAAGCAAAAGTTTGATAGTATGACACTTTTTTTTTTACAAAGAGAGACCGTTAAGCGAGAGATGGTCTTTGCTGATCATCTAAAATCATGATTTAGAGAAAATGTAATGGCTTACCAAGCGTTTCGATAAACTTGGTCAAGCTGTGCTCTTGTTTGGCACTTGTTATTATGACATTTGGACTCAGCTCTTGAATGACTGAAACAGAAAATGAATAATGGCAAAAACAAACCAACACAATGGCAATCGAGCAAATACATGCATTCTGGCAGATACAACCAACTGACACAAGCTAGAAAATCTAAGACAGCGGGAGAGACACGAAAGAGAGCTTGTGTGCTGTGCACCCATGCAAATACAGCAGAGAGAGAGAGAGAGAGAGAGAGAGAGAGAGAGAGAGAGAGAGAGAGAGAGAGAGAGAGAGAGAGAGAGAGATGCAGTAACTTACCTCTATCCAGCAGGTGGAGGTCATTGTCCATCGTGTCCAGCATGTAATGCAGCGTATAATCGCTACTGTCATAGTAACTCAGTCCAATTTTAGCTCGTTGAACAAATATACTCAGAGAAATCTAAAATTAAACAAAACGACCACATATCCCTGTTACTAACGCAGAACATTATTACAGAGATATTATTAAATAAATACTTCTTATTTAACTTACCTCATAGTTTCCCTCATCATCCTCCTCAGCTTCATTTACACTCACAGCTCTTTCTGTTTCTTTTAAAATATCGCTTTCAGACATTTTTCACTGTGTAAAAACACTGTACTTTTATACATTTACACTTGTCCACGCCATTCATAGATGATGAAGGTGTATTTTGTCCCTTCCCCTGAGGAAAATACGGAGTGAATAAACAGGAAATTCTCTGGGGGGGGGTTTCTGAAGTTGTGTTCGAGTATCTAACAAGATAACGAACGCGTTAAAAAGATAGGATATCCGCTGTTTTAATATTTGTTTAGGTTTTTTTTCGGTGTTATTCGACAAAATGTCGCCGCTGTTTTAGTTTTTTCAGTCTTCTGACAACAAAACACGAGCGCGCGCCTCGATCGCGTCACTAGTGCTTTTTTTTCTTAAACTATTTTTCTTTGGTGTTGCTCGTGTCTTTGGATTTTTTTCTGACAATAATCTAAAAGACACGTATTTTCTTATAAATCTATTTATTTTTCTAGCCAAGTTTTTTTTATACATAAGTGCATTTCTTGTCTGTTAAACCACTTTTAATTTTTAATTTTTTGCAAAGAACTTTTGACTGGCTCTTTGTCTACTGTTTATAATTATATTATTCTTGTTAAATTCTTTTGAGTTGTAACTGTACGTATTTGTTTTTATATGTTCATTTAAAAAAAAACTAGTGTGTGATTAATGCACAAAACCAATTCCCTTTTTTTATTTAAAAAAAACCCATACAAAAATGCATTCATTTCTACTGTATAGAAGAAAGAAAAAAATCAAGCACGACTATAGGCACAATTTAAATAATGTTATTTATTAAGTTGAATTTATCCATGTGTGAAATGCAGCAATGCTGATTAAAACAGTGAAGGCTTCTTGCTAGCATTGTTATAAAAATAGATACAAGGGTTGGTGGCACTTTATTTTAGTGTCCTTGTTGCACATAACACTTTACAATAAGGTTTTATTATTTCACTACATTAGTTAACATGAACTAATAATGAACTGCACTTCTACAGCATTTATTAATCTTTATTTCAACATTTACTAATACATTATTAAATCATATTTAATACATTAACTAATGTTAACAAATTAACCTTATTGTAAAGTGTTGACATAGCAATACATGCAACTAACCCTAAACCAAACCCCAATACTAATCCTATAGTAAGTACATGTAGTTAAATACAGACACCTTAAAATAAAGTGTAACCCAATGGTTCTAGGAATTACTTTATTCTTTAACAGAACTTATAATTATTCAAGATATCCCCAAAAGTGTGTTATTGTTGTTGTTGGTGGTGTTAGCCTATACATTTTGTCTGTTTTTGTGTTTTTATTTTATTTTAAATAGAATCCATTAGTTGAGTTTACTGTGAATAAAGCAATGCCAGAAGAAGCGAGAGCAGAGTGCTGGACCAGACGCCAGCAGAACTGGCTGAGATGCCGTTGCAGAGCAGAGTATCACAACAGTCACTGGTGAAGGTAAAGTTTAAACCAAAGGCAAACTTCTCTCCTGTTAATCCACACAGGGGAGGAAGAGCACAGCTCTTTTCATACAGGGTGACCTGAAAATCCCCTGTTCAAAGAAAAACACACATAATGACAAGCACAGAAATAGGCTACATGCTCAATTTGCATGGCACCTTTTTGAAAATGTCCGGCTTATGCAAATTTGTTTGTTAAATTCTAGTAACATCCACAATGCTCAACACAGCATGATCACTGGAACTGTCACAGACTGAACGGCATTAATGACACATGTACATACCTCGCTGTCCAACAGCTTTGCTAGAAAGACAGAGCTGACCCGGCGAACACCTGGTGGGGAACTTGAGACAGTCCAGGGGTGAGATGGAAGGAAATACACATGTATAACAGAACAGAGGAACTGTAAGAGAACAGATGAAAAGAGATACATTAGCAAAATTTGTAGAAGATGATATGCAAAGATACAATGGAATTAAATTAGAAGCTTTCTTTTACCTTAGTGCATAGAAAAAAAAGCATTAAAGTGCACCCTAAAGCACGGTCACTAACTATTCCTAAAAATTACTGTAATATAAAAGGGTTGACATAAATATACACACATTTACATAAACTGTTTAAGAGCTATATTAATAACAGTGTATAAGAGCTATTTTAAGTAATAAAGCTTATGGAAGTGAAAAACTATTACAACAAATGTGAAAACCAATGGCATCGCTTCACTTCAACTTACCCACAGATGGGAGAAGACAAAAGAAGAGGATGTGTCTAAAATGTTGAGACATGTTTAGATTGTCTTAGTCTACAGCGTAATCCTTTAACAGGTCAGAATGGTCCAGTTTGTACATTATCATCTTTTCCTCTAACCCTGCCTTTTTAACATCAAAATGCGACTCCACCCTAGAACATAATTCAATTCAGACTACAGCAGTTTGTTGGTGAAGCTGAGGTGAGAATATCACTGGCAGAGGCCTCCGAATGCCCTTTATATTCCCATGTAAGCATCTATTTTCAAAATAATAATTATTAACTCCTTGATTTAGTGTTGGATTCACCCCGTATAGTTTATGTATGCATCCAATCCATTTGCCATTTATTGTAAATGTACAGAATCAATGTGGGTTTAACGTCAGATACATTACATTGTCAACTGAAGTTCTTCCTTAGCAGCTTTATTGCCAACCAATCCCAAACATGATGGCAGACACAAGTTACCATCAATACTATAGATCTTCAACACAGCTGGCTTCATTTCAGCATACATATTTCAAATCTTGAGGTTACGATCTGATGCCTTTGCTGGCAAAGGTGAAGCAGCAGCACAAATTTAATTACAGAATATATTTGTTAATGAAAGACATGCAGGGTAGAGGAATGTCAAATGACTGAGGGTCTTGTGACTGTAGGATTCAAAGAGATGGTTAAAATCAGTTTTATATAAAGATTTAACTACTAAATTCAGTGCTCTCTCAAGGCAGCTTAGATCAGAAACTAAAACAAGATATAAAATGTTACAGCCAATCAGTTGTCATTTTAGACAATGCAACTGCTAAAATAACAAGGAGCACTGACTCAATACTTTGGGGGAAAAACTGTTTATCTGAGGTAGATCACATTTACCCAAATTCAACTAGAAAAGATTCACACAGCCCTTAAAGCGCTCATCCTCGTTCACCCGACTCTAAATACAGGAGATATATCAGCATTGCATCATTATATTAAGAGAAATAAAAACAACCAGACATGAATACATTTCACTTCTTTTATTGTAATCCAAATTTCTACATGGAGATTAGCGGTTAGATTTGGCCACTCTCTCCAGCTCATCTTTCTTCTTGATGGCATAAGAGTTGGATGAACCCTGCAATACAAACAGAAAAAGAACTTTGTAATAGTAGAACAAACTCAAAAACGACAAGATTCTTACATTAATTTAATGTACATTAAATATGTGTACATAAGGGCTGGGTATTGACACAAATTTCACAATTCGATTTCGATTCACAAGCTTGCAATTCGATTCAATATTGATTATTTTGGATATCAGGTACAATACATGGCAAATTTTCTCAAGGAAAACAAATCTCTTAACTAATGCTGTAAACTATGGGAGTCAGTTGTAGCCTACTAGGCTTCATTAGCCTACAATAATATTGTACAAACACTTAAATTACACTTATTTATTTTTATAATAATAAAGTTATATGAAATATAAACATTTAAATGGTGGCTGTCATAAAAACTTGCCAGATTTATTCAAACATGCATTAAATATCGAAGAACATTAAAAATTATAATGAATATGTAATATGGTGGATATATATTTAGCAAAATGCTCCTCTTTAGAGTTAATTTTTCTAGCTAGCTAACGAGTTTATGGTCACATATGGTTTTTCTGAGGTAAATGTGACCTTACATGACATTGTTTACAAGTTGTTTTACTGACGTCTTTCCACGGTTGAAACACTGATTGAGCGATTCCATGTGACATGATACGGATTTCGATAAGTTGTACTCTAACTTTTAACACACTTTCAGACGTTCATTCATGTTTATTTCGCGCTGTAACTGGTATTATTAAGGCAGAAGAGGAGATCATGTGCGCTGCTGCTTCTCTTGAGCTGAGCCAGAGCGATCTCACGCCACAGCGCCAAAACGGTATTTCTGTTTTTGAATTTCGTAAGAAAATGGACGTAATTTGAAATTTGAGACTTTATTTCATATCAATAGTAACAAAGCACAAAGATTATTGCGATTTATTGGATGGGATGTGCGCTATAATGTTCCATTCATTCATCAAATGAAAACAGGATGACTAATCGATTCTTGAGATTTAAGAATCGATATCGGTTCGTAAAAATTAGAATCGATTAATATCGAGAAATCGATATTTTTTACCCAGCCCTAGTGTACATTAACTGTACATGCTCCGGAGGTGTAGATAATAATAAACTCCAATCAGATTGTCTCTCTCACCTTGGCGGCGTTGATGAGCTCATCAGCAAGACACTCTGCAATAGTCTTGATGTTCCTGAAAGCAGCTTCTCTTGCACCAGTGCAGAGCAGCCAGATGGCCTGAAATCATAACACCAACAGACAATAAGTGACCACTTTCACATATGGACCGTATCTTCACCGGCCACTTCTATGAACAACCAAATCGCAAAGGCCTAATAAAGTGTCTTGAGTTACCAAAAGCATCCTAACTCATGACAAGTCCCTTTAAAAGTCAACATGCAACCCACAAAAACTCATTTTAACTTCAAAATAACTTCATTCCTGGTGTCACTGATATGCACTCTTAAAAAAAGTTTGTTTATTGGCATCTATGGTTCTATGAAGAACATTTAACATCCATGGAACCTTTACATCGAACAAAAGGTTCTTTAGATTATTAAAATGTTCTTCACACAAAGAAAAAAAAGGGGTTACTTTAAGAACTGTTCTTTGGGGAACTAAAAACAGTGATTCATTATATTCAACGACATCAGTGTGAAAACACCCTTTTGGAACTTTCTTTTTTTTTTTGTGTACATCACTACAAAAATAAATAAGTTAACCAATAACCAATTGATTTATGGTAAATGATAGCCACCAAAACACTAAGAATGAACGGCAAAAGACGCATAAAAAGTTTCCATGTCGTGTAAACGGCCCCTAAAGACACTTTAAATAGCCAGATAGAGAGACTTTTAGCAAGTTATCTCAAAACGACACTTCAAGAAAATCAGACCTGGTTGACCCTGCGCAGGGGAGACACGTCAACAGCCTGTCTCCTCACGGTTCCAGCACGTCCGATACGAGTGGAGTCTTCACGGGGGCCGCTGTTGATGATGGCGTTCACCAGAATCTGCAGAGGATTCTGGAAACGAAATAGAAATTGTCTATTAATACAGACTATTAAGATCTCAGAATTGGTTTAAAAAAAGAATTACCAAATGTTACTTCTGCAATATATTTAGACAGGCCTTATACTTTGCTATGACAAAACAAGGCAACTAAGCATGAATAAATGTGTAAAATGGTCTGACCTCGCCAGTGAGCAGGTGGATGATCTCAAAGGCGTGTTTCACGATGCGGACGGTCAGCAGTTTCTTGCCGTTGTTGCGTCCGTGCATCATCATGGAGTTAGTGACGCGCTCCACAATGGGACACTGAGCCTTACGGAAACGCTTGGCTGCGTATCTGCCGCTGGAATGGGGGAGGTATTTGGCATATTTCTCCTTCACGGCAATGTAATCCTATAGAGAGAGAGACATACGTTGATGTGCTTAAAACTTACAGCTTCCAAATAAACATGATCAAAACAATGGCACAAAACCTTCTTCATGCCTTCTGTCAGTGTAATTGTAAAAATGTCCACTTTCAGGTTATGATATTTTTGCTGTGAAATATTTAAAGATTTTTCATATAGTAAACTAAGAATAACTTTTATATTCTTATTAATATTTCAACATATACAGGACTGTAGCCACCTAGATTTACTTCATTCATATTTAACTTTTTAAAAAATCATGTTAAAAATATTAAACAACAGGCTTTTGAGGAACATTTGTACATCTCTCACTCATATTGCTTTGCATTATGTTTTGTCCAAAATTAAAACTACATTGCTTTGATCATTAAGCATTTTAATATCTTACCAAGACATGTTATAGAAACATCTCATTGATTCACAATTGTAAGCTATCAGAATTTCATCTTGCTTTTTGGCCATACAAATAACATCTGCACCAAATTGTATATTTGTGGCCAGTTTGGTCCTTTGAATATGTTATTCCTCCTTGAGTGTAAGCTCCATACTCACTTATAATTCAGTGTGCCATAAAAGCCTTTTGTACAATGCTAAACAAAAAGGCTTTTTTGTCTAATACACATATGATTTCATATGTAAGACTACAGGGTTAATGGCAAAATAAAACAAAACAAATATTCACTCCTTACAAAACCATGTCATGTTTATGTCCAGCTGTGTGAAAGTGTCAAACACACCTGCAGTGAGATGTCATTGATCTGCACATCATCTGTGCTCCATTTCCCGAAGAGTTTTATCTCTGGTGTCTCAGCAACAGCTGGCGCAGCCTCCCAATCTTCAGCCATCTTTACAATCAAATGAGAAAAGTCAAAGTTATATGTACATAAGGGTGTCCACAACACACAGACCAACCCACAAAAATCATAGGGGTAGCAAAATAATCCTATATTAATTGAGGGAGAAAAAGCAAGCTGAATTCAACAAAAATAACAAAGTTAAATGTCATAACGCAATTCTATTTTAAAAGATAAGGGTGTCCCACACAAAAAAAAGTGCAGCGAATTTTAATTAATACAATACATAATGTTTTATTCCATTTAAACACATGTATGTTGAAAGTTAAAAGAAGGATACAGAATCACGATCTCGAGTCTTCATATAGATTATGAATATGATCCCAAACTAAGTAGATCCTAAATTTACTCTTAAACAGTACGGTGTAACCCAATAATACAGTTAACATAATTCATCCAAATTTGACACTTTGTGAATGTCATAATTCACATGTGCGGGTTCACTCTCGGTCTTTTCTAAGGGAGAGACAGCGGGCTCATGGACCGCTTGTAGAAGACGCACAAAATCATCGTTTTGACGAGCTACATGACATATACGAGTCAAAATATGAACATGATTCTGTTAACAACCAGATGAGCATATTTTGATGTGAATGGAAAGGGTATAAAGGGTTTAAAATCTGTTTTTCGTCGTTACCTTCGCAGCGTGTGTGTGTATGGCGCACTCGAGCAGGCGGAAAGGAAGAGCGACACGAGGGCCGAGAAAAAAACCACTTCCGCTCGAAGCGCTTCCGTGTCGCGCTCTTCTTCTGCGCTCTCTGCGGACGCTTGAGGGGAGTTATCGCCACCTGCCACTTACTGGGAATATAAGGGTGCACAAATATTACCCAAAAAATGGTAAATTAGACAGTGCACATAACCTCTAGAAAATGTTGCTTTTCAATGAGTTTTGCTGTTTTAGGGTTGAGGTTTGGGTAACAAGTAAAAAAAAAACCTATATCAAAAAATGAGACAGAAGTAGTGTAGCAATAAACACTAAATTTATTAAAATTTCCGATCAATTGCAAACAAATGTTTGATCAATTAGGAATTAAGACTAAAAGCCGCTTTACACCCGACAATTTTTTACATGCTGTTTGTTTCAGCAGAGCTTATATTTCTTATTTTTAGCTGGCATTACATCTTCAGATATCCAGCTAATGACACCTTAGCCACAAATCCTGTTTGTTTGTTTTTTACACCACAATCATCAAATGAATCACAAAATATTCAGTGTATGTCTTTCTGAATACCTACAAACGCATGCATTATCCTGGATCTCTATTGAAATATATTATTTAACCAGCAGAGGGCGGTGAAGCATACACACACAAACACACACACACACACACACACACACACAATAAGCTACTTAGCTTTTTTTCTCTCCACACTCCTTTAAAAAAAAAAAAAATTACAGTCACTCTGGGCTTTACCATAAGCATAAGGGGCCTGTCCAAATCATCGGGGTCAAATACCCACACTCTTGGTACTTTGCATTGTCCCTGGTCTGAAAATGGCAAAGTTCAGCCTACACTCAACGCACACTAAATCCACACTATCAGAGCGGTCTTTGAGGCTAATCCCGTCATTCACGAACTTACATACATCTTCCGATTTCGCGTCATGTCTAGGAAACCTTTCAATTGTAAGTTAAATTAATTAGATATTGCATATAATTCGGATTCAAAACGTAAATTGTTGCACATTTTAGAGGTGGAGACTGCAGAGATTACATGTATTTTGTAAAACGTCTGAAAATGAAGCCCCACAATCACACGTGTCATATTGAGAAAACAAAAATCAAAACACTTCAAGACCACTTGAACACTTTGGCCAAACTACGAAAATACGGCCTGTAAGTATTGACAAGTGCAAGTGGTCTGGTCATGTATTTGGGTTCGAGCTTTGGGGCAGAGGTTCTCAACCAGGAGCCCAGGGCCCTCAGCAAACTTTCAGTTTCTGTTAAAATTATTTAAATAAATATTTTAAACAACTAATTTAATTTATATATGTAAAAAAATGTAATGCACAAATTTAAACTGACACATTTTTTAGTTTATTTATTTTTGTTACAACAAAGGTACCAGAGGCACATAGACAGCATAGACAATAATGTCTTGGACAAAGGGAGTCAAACTGCTTTAAGACACTCCTCATCCAAATCCCCTATGTTGTAGGATTTTGTCTGAATATGATTTATTTTGTAAATTGGACAATAACACCTCATGGTCTACTAAGTGTCCGTGGACAATATATCAAGCAAATTAAACACCAACTCCCTACAATTATTTTCTAATTCGATGTTATAGGCTATTGGTATATTTTCATTCGATAAGTTTGAAAATGAGTTGCCAAAAATATAAAACTGCATGTGTATTTGATTTTGCATTATCTCTTAATTGTAGCCTATGTTATGCCAGTTTACTTTAGTTTAATTTAACTTCAGTTTTCCTTTCACCATTTATTATTTATTTATATATGAATTAATGAAAAAGTTTCCTTGTAGTAACAAAAACTGACAGACACAGAAACAATGGCAAATATCTGTATTGGGAAACTGATCCATCTTCCTCACTGTTATTAGTCAGTTATTGGGCCTGATTCAATATGTCTATTTGTTTATATTTATTGAGCTGTCTTCTTCATATATATATATATATATATATATATATATATATATATATATATATATATATATATATATATATATATATATATATATATATATATATATATATATATTTATGAAGAAGACAGCTTCTTCATAAATATATATGATATATATATATATATATATATATACATATATTAAACGTATGTCTTTAATTACAAAAATATTTTATTTAACTTATTTTTTATTTATAGTTGTTTTATTGCAATAAAACAATGTTAATGTTTAACAATAACAATCAATCGCAAATCAAATACCTAAGTCAACAGAAGGATATTAATAGAAGAGAAAAAGAAAAAAGAAAGAAATATTACAATACGGTATATCAGCATCTTGATAACCGCTTGATAAGCAAATAGCATGGGCCACTACATGTTAGCATCAGCATGTTTTGTGAATAAATCAAACGAAATAATTACGTCTTTACAATAATGTACAGTCTTTTTGCTTTGTTGATGCTGTTAATGTATGAAGGCAATAAGCTTACCCTAATTTAAAAAAAAATAGTAAAAAGTAGTAATTTAGGTATGAACAGTTCTGTTTTCTTTCTCGAGAGAGCGTTTGTTTGGGGCTTTTATTTTGAAATCCTCCTCACTGCAGGTTTGCGCCGCGGAAGTTCTCGCTGCTGATTGTAGCCTAACACACACACATACACATTCATACACATACACAGACGGTTCTCCGCTCAAATCTGACTTAGAAATAACACACCAAAACATCATATCCCAGGAATCACACCGCTATTCGATAGAAAAGGCCAAAGGAGACCCCAAAATAAGGTGTGATATTTTTTACTTCTCTTCTGTTGGCTCTTGTTGTGAAGCTAACGTTATATATTGTAAAGAGCCTGTAGAGGCCTATCAGAACCATCCTATGCAAAAGCTCAACTGCATTTACGCACACAGTGTGAGGCTGGAGTGACACTAAAGATGAGAAGGGGTTTGTATCTTTTGTGGTTTGTACACTGGTTTAAAGATAAACAAGGGTGTTGACTAGATTAACGTTAGATGCCTGCCTTATCTGTATCCTGTGCATCACACTGGGGCTCTGCTTGCGCAAAAGTAGGGGGCTGTGTCTCAAAGTAGTCTGCTACCTACCAAGGCAACATCATAGACATGTCCGAACTGGGGAATCATCATTTTGGGGCGTCATTGATTGATTCTAGGTAGACAGCTCACTAGGATTGAGACGCAGTCAGAGTGAAGCCCCTCTGTCAATCAGATCATCGAGCCCTTTATATTATATCACAGTTAGACATGGACTGCACACTGCAGGTGAATAACGTTAAGCTTAATAACTTCAGCTGATTCACAGATCTTGATGCTGAATTCAGTAATATGTGTATAATGTTTTGGGTATTAACAGTTGCACCGTCCAATATACCAATACTTCACAGCTGAACAATACATAGTTGTGATTTTGATCTATTATCTACATTATCTTCCAGTTAGGACACAAGTATGCATGCTACTACTGCTTTTTATTTGACCTGTTCCAAATCTTTGTCATTAGACGATGCCATTAAACTAGTCCTTATGACAATTTTAATATTGCTGACATCAGCCGATAACTCCATGTTGCCAAGAGTATCCGGGTATTTTCTGAAAGTCCTGTTTTCTAGTGTATTTGAGTGAAATTAAGTAAGTAATGTTATTTATAAGAGAATATTGAAAGAATAATCAAAAGTGATTAATAAATATGAAGATTAATTATATCAAAACAATATTAAATAAATGTTTCACAGAATAGGCTTATATCCCAGAATATTATGCCATAAAGAAGATTGACACATTTTACATACAAAATAATTATTCAAAGAAATATATATATATATATATATATATATATATATATATATACCCTGCAATATCCAACTCCCTTAATAAATGTAAATCATTTTGTACCTCACTGTTATATTTTGTTATATTTTTCATTTGATAAGAACCTTTAGTCTTAGAGTTCTCGTATAAATATGCATATAATACATCCCTGTGTTACTTATTCAGTTTCCTTATATTTCTAAGTTATTGTTACTATTGTTTGTAACACTATAATATGGGGTCTCCATCAAGCTGTGTGTGTATTTATTTATAAAAAACATATAATAGACCAAGATAAATTGGAATTAATAAATTCTCTCTCTCTATATATATATATATGTATATAGTGTGATATAGTATTCATGAAACACATTCGTGACAAAATACCTGTTTGAAACCGACACCAAAACACTTTGACTATAAAGTAATGTACTAATAATATTGTTTTATAGATACTATGATGATATAGCCTTTGTGATATGTGAAGACTAACCCTGCTCTCCCCCGTATTGTACAGTGTTGTTGATTGTGACAGTACAGCATGCAGCGGTAATTGTTGGCAATGCAATGTATTTATTAACATCATCATGTGCAACAATTATGATTGGTATTATTAGCATCATATTCGTGTGGCTGATCAGTTAACCTGTAATTGATCTCATGCAACTATGAAAGTTTAGTTCAGGGGTGTCCAAACTCGGTCCTGGAGAGTTTAGCTGCAACTTGCCTCAACCCCAGTCTTGAAGTTCCCAGTATGCCCAGCATGGGCTTGATTGGCTGGTTCATGTGTTTAATTGGGCAGCTGAACTCTGCAGGACAGTGACCCTCCAGAAGCAGGACTAGACACCCCTGGTTTAGATGTAAAGTCCGCGAGCCTCAGTGGCATCTGTTTGGGTTCAGATTTGCATTGCTCAGACACGGCGAGCGTGGTTGGTCACCAGGTCAAGGATTTGGTGAACTTGCACAAGCTAGTGGAGATTAACCGGCTGGACGTATGGTCCTGTGACGCACGGATCCCACGAGCTGCCACATGGAGTATTCAGAGCACATGCGGCACTGTAACATTATTGCTAGTTTGTGTTTTGGGAAAGGGTAATGAGAACACAGCAGGAGTTATTAGTTGTTTTCTTCAGGTCAGTACTTCATGCTTGAGTTTGGCTGTGGTGATCTTTATGGAGGAAACCAGCACACCGTATTTATTGAAGAGGTTCCTGCTGCACATTTCCTGTTTATCGACTTTGCAAAGCTCACCTCGCATTTGCACTATGTCTGACACGCGTGGGTGTGTGTGTGTTTGAACATAAAGTGTGAACTCACACCCTAGCCTGTGGAGATCAACTTTCTTCTATTATCAGCTGAAATGTACCTGAGATTCAGAGAAATGTTGATGGCAGTGAGCACTGAACTTTCCTTTAATCTGGTTATTGTCTATGGGCCGCTGTACATAAGCCGTCTGCTATACTGGAGAGGTCAAAGCCGGCCCGTAAACACTCGAGAGTTCGAGTGACCGTGCGTCTGCAAACGTAGTTAGACGCATCATGTATGGATATCTATATCTGCAATAGAGTTCAGCAGATTAACACAATACAACAAGACAAAGGCGTTAGCTAACATGACTATTAAAAGTTACCGTAGTATAAAAACCTGTAATATTGAGCTAAAACATATAAAGAGAGACAAACTAACACATTCTCATTTTAAATCTCTGCGGTTTTTCCAACCAGAGGCTGCACAATGTTACAAAAAACTCATTGATTTTTACTGTGAGTGACAACACGTTGACTGTTCCAAGATGGCGGACGCGTCGACATCCATGACGCTAACAACCGCAAAGTCATGGGTTTGGTTCCCAGAGAAAGCAAGAACTGATTAAATGTGTACATTGAAAGTCTTCCAAATGCATTAATGTATGTATGTGTTAGTTCATTCATTCTTTCATTTGTTTGGTCCTTAGTTGATTAATTTGTTAATTTTTTCATTCGTTTTTCTGTTTGTTTGTTCATTCTTTCATTTGTTTATTTATTCATTCTTATGTTTGTGTTTAATTCATTCATTTTTTTCTGTTTTTGTTCATTTGTTTTGTTTATTATTGGTTGTTTTCCCTTGCTCTATTTCTTTCTGTGACTTCAGAGTTACGTTTTTGCTTTAGCTGATTAAGTGGGTTGTCAATTCTAGGATCTGTTATTTTGGTCTGGTTATTCTTTTGCTCATGAATGAGTTATCGTTTGATTGTTTGTCCATTTGTCATTGTCTTCTTTCCCTCCCTTTGACGTTCTCTCTGTTTCTCGTTCACTTTTCCACAGCTGGGCTCTCTGCTACCTGGTTGCCCTGGTAAGGTGTTGCCATGCCGTTCCCTTTCGGTAAGTCTCACAAGTGTCCCGCGGACATTGTGAAGAATCTAAAGGACAGCATGACCATTCTGGAGAAGCAGGACATTTCGGACAAGAAGGCTGAGAAGGTATTTGCACAATGCGCTGTTACACACGGGTGTGTTACAGTGTGCTTTGGGCTTGTACTGGTAATGTCACCTATTAAAGAGTTTCATGAGGCCATTAATAAGAGAGGTGTGTGTCTGCACTCTTCAGGCCTCTGAAGAGGTGTCCAAATCTCTGTTGGCGATGAAGGAGATTCTCTACGGCACGAGTGAGAAGGAGCCGCAGACAGAAGCCGTGGCTCAGCTGGCTCAGGAGCTCTACAACAGCGGCCTGCTCAGCACCCTCGTCGCAGATCTGCAGCTCATTGACTTTGAGGTGGGGGGATGAGTTTAATACACTAAGCCACAAAATTGAAAAGTAAAGTCCCTCAAGATCCACTGAGCAGCTTTCAAATGCTCTTTTAAGACCCGATATACTTCTTTTTCGTTATTCTTAAAGTCCCACTCCGATCATATTTTGAGCTATTTTTAAACATTCCCAGTGGTCTTTAAATTATGATTTCTTTTAGCCAAAATCACAAAACCTGTGCCGTTTTCTGGGACTTTGCTTCAGGAGAGCGGCAGTAGCTCATTAGCAATTCGCCTTTGCGTTGTGGGCGGAGCCGTTGGCACGGAGACGACCCTCCCCGTTGCTGAGAGCTCTGTCTCTCCCGCTAGCTTACAACCCCAACCTGTCATTTGCTCCTGACAGAAAAGCGCCACTTTGGCCGCACTGTGCTAGCAAACAGGCGGGATCGTTGAACTAGCTCCCGACAGAAAAAAACAAAAACTTACCGGTAAAGACACAGGCTGTCCAGTTGATGGTGTCTTGATGGAAGGCACTGCATCCGGCTTCAAAAACAATTTACTGACGAAGCCCATTTTTCTCTCCTGCCAGTTGGTGAAACAGTCTTCTGTGAAGTGCTGACCGCAAACCGATGTGTGGTTTTTAACATTGCCGTGACCAAGGAACGTAATCTATCTATCTCTCACAGCAACATGTTTTGGTAAAGCATGAAAGCTAATACCAGGGGGGTGGTAAAAGTACTCAAAAGTTATGCTCGAGTAAAAGTATATATACCTAAATAAAAAATTACTTCAGTAAAAGTAGAAAGTCCTCCATTCAAACATCACTTGAGTAAAAGTACAAAAGTATCTGATTTAAAACGTACTTAAGTACCGAAAGTAAAAAGTAAATATTCAAATTAACTGTAAATATAAATAATTAAGCAGATCAATTGTTTGGGGAGTGATATGCAATGTTTTATTTGAACAAATGATAAGATTAGATACTGCAATTAAGAATTTGTTAGCTAGCTGTTTACACGGGTTTCAATATGAAATCACTTGGCTAATAATAGTAACATTAAAGCACTAAAGAACTTTTCCTCTGCAGTCCCCCTACAGGTTGGAAGCGGCATTGTCCGTTACCGCTGTCGTAAATAATTTAGCCTACCACAGCCTACTGTCGCACGCATGCTCGCTGTTTATCCAGCACCGGCTTTAGAGTGAATGATGTCCAATTGTAACGCTTGCCGTAACGCAAGTCAAATTTGTAGTTTTCTGATGTCTCATTCGAACTACAGAAACGCGACCCGATCTGGCAAACTTATATAGTGTGGTTCTAGGACCACAAAGCGAAGGCAGAAGTGCCTTTCAGCCTGTTACGACTTGATGAACCGCTGAAACGATTTTGGAAACATTATTTTAAGATAAAAAATCTTCTTTTGTGTTGCTTTAACGTCAACTCACTTCAATATGTTTTCTCAGTTTTGAGGGTGAAGTTTTGAATGCTGAAATTTAATTCACCCGTGGCAGGCAAAGAAGACATTTCAGCCGATATTAATCTCCCTTGACTTCAGTGAATTCGAACATATCATTGATATATGGCCATGGGTGATCCCTGTTGGAAATCTTGGGATCATTGCTGGCAGCGAGAGCTGCACCTTCACCGGTTTCTGCGGTCAATGGCGAACTGCCTGCTATGTGAGCGTATACTGGCAAAGAGCTTGCGCGTTCTTTTTTTCAAAAGAAAAACAAGTTTTTCATTGGTTTGGAAAGCCAGTGTAATAAATACTTGGAGCAGGCATGGGGAAATGTATCAGAGTAAAAAGTAAACTTTGTCTTTAAAATTGTAGTGGAGTAAAAGTGAAAGTAGATGCAAATAAAACATACTCAAGTAAAGTACAGATCCCCGAAAAAAATACTTAAGTAAAGTAACGTAAGTAAGTATTTTTACTTCATTACTTACCACCACTAGCTAATACCACTATCTCTCCAGCATTGCAACCCGCTACCGCACATAGGTGTTGATCCGCCACCGTCTTCTCTACTCCTCAGAACCTGAGCGGGCGGGGCGGAGGGGAGTATGAGCTTGTGGCCCCGCCCAGTGGAGTTACTACGTCACAACTCCAGTCTATTTTAGCCGGCATTTTAGCGTCTGCTACTGATTCACAGCCATTTGAATGTAGAAATACTCAGAAATACAACTTTGAGCTTATTTTTCTCAAGGTATGTCCTCTAACATCAGAAAAATGCCACAAGAACATGTTAACACCTAGAAAAACATTATTTTCATCGGAGTGGGTCTTTAAAGGGTTAGTTCACCCAAAAATGAAAATTCAGTCAGTAATTACTCGCCCTCGTGTTGTTCCAAACCCGGTAAGAACGTAGGCTCAGGCATCACACACATGACCAGCGTCGGCCAATAGTGAGCCTACGTTCTGACGTACAACACAGAAGCGCTGCGCTGTTACACTACGTGAACTCACTCGAGGCCCACAGAGAAGGAAATGAATAGTTGAATAAAGTCGTTATTTTGGGGGGGTTTTTGCGCACAAAAAGTATTCTCGTCGCTTGATAAACTTAAGGCATACCTGTCAACACTCCCGTTTTTCCCGGGTTTTTCCCGTAATTTGCATGGCCCAAACTCCTTTATGAATAATCGGACCAATATGTTTGTCTAATGTTGACCAGTTGCCAGATCTTGCATTATATTCACACAATCCACACATCATATACAATTTCAACCCGTTTGTCATCTCAACCTGGCAACCTATACCCCAGTTGCGCAGTCGCGGAAAGCTCAACGGATAAGCGAGCACCGAGCACTGATTTTATTTATTTTGAGGAATATTGAATCTTTTTTTGTGCAAGTGAGATGAGTAGATGCACACTTTGTCTATAACTACAATAACCATCATGTTTACACACAACGCTTCTGCACTTGTCTCGGCATGGGGACAAGAGAGCTGTCAGGCAATAAATGGGAAAACAAAGTAACTTGCGTTACTTATTTGAAAAAGTAACCCTATATATTTTGTTGTAAATTTGAAAAGTAAAACCCCATTGTCTGAATAATATCTTCTGGGTTCTTTTTTTTTTTTAATATGATCATTCACTATTTAATCTGTGCAAAACAAGCCCCCAGTTCGCCCACTGTTACTGGCAGAGCAAATTTAGATCTCAAAATCATAAAAAAAAATGGAAGAGGTTAGAAGTTCATTTGATTACATAATGTCATCAGACTATTATGGAATATTTTATTTTGGATATTGTCTAGCCAGCGTCTAAAAGTTTCCACTGGTTTCAACACATCAACAGAGTACATTTTGTTCTTCAAGTGTTAGAAAGTTAGGCCTGTAGGAGAAGTAATGTTAGATGTTAGAATTATGATTAGTTTAAAATACAATTCACTATTTTATAAAAAAAAAAAATCCATCACAATAGCCACAAAAGAGATCCTCTCCTCTAATCAAAAGTGGCTTCTTCTTATGCAACTGAGAGACTTTAATATTGCGTGTATTAACAGATGTCACTTGTGAACGGATCCGCCTAGACGGTTCTGATACCAGGTGTAAACAGTTTTTACAAGATTTACATACTTTATTTCTCAAATTCCAGTTTGTGGAAATACATGTTTTTATTTTTAAGTAATTAAGCTTTTCAGTAACCAATCTGCATTTTTTTTCTCTTTAGGGCAAGAAAGACGTGGCACAGATCTTTAATAATATTTTGAGACGTCAAATCGGCACACGGACACCCACTGTTGAATACCTGTGCACTCAACAAAATATACTCTTCATGCTGCTTAAAGGGTGAGACACACACACAAACATATTGTGAATGTGAAGACATTAATTCGATTTTTATATTCACCTATTTAATATATAACCTAAAATGTGGCAGTTGTCAGACTAGTTATATCTGCTTTTCTAATTTTGAACCTGGTGTTTAGATCATATCTCAAACTGAGATATCATTGAGCTGGTTTGGTGACTAATATGAGACTATAGGTAAATATTTTAAAGGAGGTATCTGATCCCAGATGAGTATTTACTCTAGTGAGTCAGCATTATCAGTGGGTACATCTTATCCTACATCAGTGACGGATAAAATTACATTCATATATTGAGTAACTTATTTTATTTTAGACTACTTTTATGGTATTTTTTTTTGTTATTCATAACCCCTTACCACCATTTAGTTTCATTGTATGAAAAAAGTAGCATGAACATCCAACTTAAATGTGCTATATGTAATTTTTTGACTGTACTAAAGCATAAAAATACCATAATTTTGGAAACATGATAAGTTCAAATACTTGTTTCTCTGAAAAAACGCAATCAGACAGTCAGTTATTTTACTTTTAAATGTGCGTTCCGTGTCATAATGTCTGTTTTTCTTTTGGTCTGTTTAATCCCATCCACTTCCAATTTACCCAATAGTATTTGACTCCCGGGTTGCCAGTAAGAGGGAAACACCGGGATTTGCAGCAAAGGAAGTCTGCAAACAAACTGGGTCAGAGATCGCAGATCATGTCCTCAATCTGGCAACCCACGTGAGCATCGACTCCAATGAGGAGAGGGCGGGAAAAAACTCTCTCCAATATTTTGAATTTGGACTGCAGTACCCGATTCAACCACTAGCTGTCAATATTACATACTGCACCTTTAAATCTCTTTCTGGGTCTATGAATGAAAGAAAGTTTTAGAACAACATGAGGATGTGTATATGGTGGCCAAATGTTCCTGTCTTTTTTGCAGTTACGAGTCTCCAGACATCGCTCTGAACTGCGGGATCATGCTGAGGGAATGTATACGGCATGAGCCGCTGGCAAAGATCACCCTCTGCTCTGAGCAGTTCTACGATTTCTTCAGATACGTGGAGATGTCCACCTTCGACATCGCCTCGGATGCTTTTGCCACTTTTAAAGTTAGTATGTTGGCAAACAAACAAGCCTAGGTGTTTGTTTTGTCTGAGTATTTCATCTTCAGATGCTCTGTATTATTATTTTGTCTGATCAATTCCATTTGTATGGTTTTCTTCCAGGATTTGCTGACGAGACACAAACTGCTCAGCGCTGAGTTTCTGGAGCAACACTATGATAGAGTGAGTCACTGACTTTTCTTTTCATTTATTTGGTTTCCATCACTGTCTGTTGTCATTGGATCTGTCAGTCATTCTACAACAAGTTCCTTGAATTTGCATCTGTTTCTTTGCACTTAAAGTGAAAGTCAATAAATTTTGGAAGTGATTTGAATGTGAAGTGGGCCCAAAAAAATACTTTAGTCACACTTTAATATATTTGAATTTCTTTACATATGAATTTAGATATGAATATAATTTTTACAAATGCAAAAAATCATATTTGCATAATGACTTTGGTGTCAAGTTGATTTTAGTGGATGTATGAAGTAAGTTCTTCACATCAACAGCTTTTTGTAACATTAGGCAACCACATGTCCAAATACTTTTGTCATAATTTTAGACAGTATTGCTGCGTTCACACTGCTAGTTATGGGATTGACAACCGCATTTACTTACAAGTGTGAGTATCGAAATGTCCCATTCTCACAGCAACTTTCACAAAACTGACAGGAGCAACTCCAGTGGAGAAAACCTTCAGATGACATACAGCTCATATCTCGCTGTTTCTGTGAATTACTGAAATCGAAACTACACATGCAAACCCACAACACACTTTAGAGAAGCGTTTGTGCAGTGTAGGAGACCTCTCTCCAAATGTCTGGCGCGAGACAACTAGTTGTCCAGTCCGTTTCCTTTCACACATCGCAGGTTTTCCGAGAATGCAGTTGTTTTGTGAGCCCTGAAAATGTACGGGTGTGAGTTCGGTTATAGAATGCGGTTGTGTCACTCCTGTAAATAACTGAACCGTGTGTGAACATAACCATTTTAAGGACTCAAATACAGGACGTGTTTTGCTTGTCTTTCAAATAAATACCACTTGGTTTGATCTTTTATCTAATGCAAGTGTGTTTGTAAGTATGCTTTACTTTTCGGGGCTACTGTATGTACTGTAGCCAGACAATCTGATATTTACTGTATATCTCTGTCCTCTTTTTTTCTCTACTTTTGGTCTTCAGTTCTTTAGTGAATATGAGAAACTGCTTCACTCAGAAAACTATGTGACTAAAAGGCAGTCGCTGAAGGTAAGGAACTGGTTGATATGCATGTTGTTGTGCTTATTAAAACTACTGTTCAAAAGGTTGGAGTCTTTTGAAATAAGTTTTTGAAATAACAATATTGTGAAATATTATTACAATTTAAAAGAACTGCTTTCTGTTGGAATATATTTGAAAATGTCATTTATTCCTGTAATGCAAAGCTGAATTTTCAGCGTCATTACTCCAGTCTTCAGTGTCACGTGATCCATAAAACTGATTCTTTTTTTCAGTATTAAATATATAAAAAACAGCATTTATTTGACATTTTTTGTAACATTATAAATGTCTTTACTTTTGATCAATTTAATGTGTCCTTGCTAAATAGAATAAACAATTTCTTAATCGTTTTGCTCACAAACCTGTGAACAGTAGTGTATATCTATACGTGTGTATAGTTGTTGTGTTATTGTACAGCTTTATAAAGCATTAAAACTGAACTGTGCGCATGTTTACTGTAGCCATTATATCTTTATTTTTACGTGCTTCTGCTGTGTTTTATGTATTTCCTCTTCCTCTCAGCTTTTGGGAGAGCTGCTGTTGGACAGACACAACTTCACTATAATGACAAAGTACATTAGCAAACCAGAGAACCTCAAACTCATGATGAACCTGCTGAGAGACAAGAGCCGCAACATCCAGTTTGAGGCTTTCCATGTGTTTAAGGTTTAAATCTATTATTATTATTTCACCAACTCGCCAGAAAAACTCGTCTCAAGCAAGGTGACAAGGTCTTTCTCTGTGCACTCAGGTGTTCGTGGCCAATCCGAACAAGACGCAGCCCATCCTCGACATCCTGCTGAAGAACCAGACCAAACTCATCGAGTTCCTCAGCAAGTTCCAGAACGACCGAGCCGAGGACGAGCAGTTCGGCGACGAGAAGACCTATCTAATCAAACAGATCCGAGACCTCAAGAGGCCAACCCCGCAGGACGCCTGAGAAGGATGACGGACGGTTAAAAGTGCAAAGAGGACGTCTAGACAGTGTTTTAGGCAACGTCTGGACGATGTTTGGCTCTCTGGGACGTTGAGTGGCCGTAGCACTGGGCATGTTTTTGTGTTTTGCAGGAACCGTCAGATGCCGTTTGAGCTCGGTGGGGCGAGTTATATGGCGACGAGGATGAAGAAGAGTCTTGCTTCGCTGGACATACAACCCTTACAATGTTTAATTCTCATGTTTCCAAAAAACGAGCAAAATGAACAGAAAGGATGGATGTAGATGCAGCTGCTTTATTGCACATAAAGAAGGAGGGTTTTGTACCTCATACACAACCATACACTCAAATGTCTCTCGATGCTAATTAGTCCATGCAAGTTGAGGATATTATTATTGACATGCATAAAGCACTTATGCAGCATTCAAACACACTCCTGTCAACTCATTTGCTCACCATCGCCCGGGGAGTTGCATTAAAGCTACAAATGTGATGCATCAACATGTTTTGCACATTTTGAGGTTGCGTATCCTGGGTGAATAAATGTGTAGGCCCTACGTACTGTAGGCTTTTTTTATCTTCCCTTTTTTGTTTTGGCTTGTAGACTTCATTGGATGTGCGACGGCACCTCACAGCCTCTATAACTGTTTATGGTTGTTTCAGATAAATTTTGAAAGTCGTATGGAAAGGAGTAAATGAGTGTTTTGGTGAGTTAGTTGTGGCTGTGCTGTCGATTCTGATTTAACCATTCCTTTCTTACTGTATTAGTCACTGCATTAAGTGGGAGTAATGGAAAGTTAACTTGAAATCTGAAAGCTTTCTTGTGGTCGTGACATTAAGATTTGTGCCCTGCTTTAGTCTTGTTTTCAGTAAAACTAAACCCCCACTGGCATACTGTATACATTTGTGTTAACTAGGGCAATTCTTTTGATCATTTGGTGAGTGCATGAGTGAATCTCACAAAACAAATCACATTTAACCTCAAAATCAAAAGGGAAAATAATATGTTGAGACTTTCCTATTACTATAAAGCATCTGGTCTTAATTAATTGTATTTTAATTTTTGCGTATTTAATAATTTTTTTAATAATTGTCAATAGTACTTTTCATTAAATTCTAAATATTTTTTTTTTATTTTTATTTTTTTTACCAGAGTAGTAGAGTCTTTACAACAAGTATAAATTACAGTAATGTGTATATATATATATATATATATATATATATATATATGGATGTCGGGGGGATAAATAATTGGACAAATCTTTAATAGTCCAATAACCTTACACAAGCTATAATCTATAATTCCCTATGTCTTGCTTTTGAGTTTGAGGTGAAATGTGACCTGGACAAGTTATTTTCTGGTTTTGTGTAATTTGACTAAATGCACCAGCTCAGATACTGTATCTCTGGCCTTGCTGTTTTTAGTTTGGGAGAAATAAATGTGATATTATTAGCAGCAGACTAATCTGAAATGGTTGGATGTAGAGGAGCCGCTTTGAGCACTCACTTCCTTTATGAATGTTTTAACTTATGTTTGTTTTAGTAACAGTGCGGTGGTTGATGGGGGTTGTCATTTAATACTTTAAAGTTGGTGCAAGTCTGCAAAACTACACAAACCTGAAAGTGATATGGAGGGTTTTGGTCGATCATTTCCAAGTTATGATTGCCTTTACTCACAAGATAGATTTACCCACAATCATCTGCCATAAATCCTTCATTTCTCCCTTAAACAAATGCAACTGTAATTCATAATGGCATCCATGCTCATTTTCAATGCAGAACACTCCCATCAAAACACGTTCTGTCGAATGTTTACAGTACTGGTCAGAATAACAGGGATTGACATGACTATAACAGTATTTTATTTTAGTGGAAAATACAATAAACCTTACGGAGATTAAAGATGCACATTTTTCATATTTCAGTCTGAGCATATCCTGTTTAAATGGGGACAGGCAACTCACCATCATTTGTGGTTTTGTCTGCATCTGTGGTTCAGGTTGGACTAGTTTTCCTTGGTTGGCACATTTAACAACGGCCAATCACAGTCATCTTGTAAGCCTGACATTATAATGGCCCAAAGCATTAAGATTTCTGATAATTAGTAAACTTATCTTGCATCAGTGCATGTTTCTATTTTGCAGCCTTAGATTAAGCATGGGCATCTAAAGGACAAGCTGGAAACTTCTTGGCCTGCTGTCTGTTCAATTAAACAGTCCAATCTGACCTATATAGATCTGGCCCGAGGAATAAGACTTGGGCACAGAAACCTGGACTTTCATCTAAAATGTTGATCCGTAGACAGACTAACAGTTGGAAATAAAGTTTGGAATAAAATACATGTTTCTACTGTCTTTTGTTTTTGATTAAAAAGCGGTGGTTATTCAACAAACTTACAACCATGTTTTAGTAATGCCATAAATTATATTATAATAATACATTAGCCTATATTATACTAGCCTATATTCATTCTGGAATAATTTTGTTTAACATTCTGGCACCTTGTCTGTAGCCAGATAGATAAAGACGTATTGTTATGATTTTTGAACGTTAGCACATTTACTTATCCTCGGTCATTATCATTTGTAGGCCTATTAGGCATTTTTATATGGCATATATGCAAGTACCACAGTATTACCATCAGATAGATAGATAAAACTGAATATTTAAAATAAAAATCGTACACAGACATATGATGTATACAAAACGTGCGCGCGCTTGCTCCTCCTGGGTCGCGCGCATCATCACCAGTGTCGCTAGCACTGTGACTTTAAGAACGATTCTTTTATATATATAGAGAGAGAAATATATAAATAAATTATAAAAGATTCTTCCGGTCTATTAAAACGGCAAATATTGTGTCACAAAGCCAGGGGACAAAGGATCTGCGTGCACGCTAAAAACAGCGTTATTTTCTCCCTTCAACATGGTGAAGATCAGCTTTCAGCCCATCACAGGACAAAAAACAGAGAAAGAGGAGGGAGATGGAGATAAAACTCAAATATTCATACCGCATCCACACGTAAGTTTCGCTTTTTGTGTGCATCATCCGAAATGTCACGGAAAACAGCGCTTCAAAGTAACCAAAAGCCGGAAAAGAAAAGAACATCCCTGCTAAACCACCAATCACGTCATTTGGTGGAGCAAAATGATCTATTGATAATGCTCTATCAACACGCGTGTATATATTTGTAGCTATTTTGCATATATACATTGTTGCCCTTTGGTTTCATAACAAGAGGACATGGATGCTGCAGCACCTGCACCAATAACATCACATCATGCAACATTCATCATATCCATCTCTGCCATAAAATGTGCACTTTATATCCTTGAGCACTCAATATGTGTGCATTATTGTGATGTTTTTTTTTTTTTTATCAGATTGCTCTTCTTTAATAATTTAACCAAGTGATGGGGTAAACATATTGATAAAATAAATATAAAATAGCTTAAAACATTTTGCCCTGCATTTTAAAAGATATTACCTGTAATATATGGGTTGTTATTGTCAGAGGTTAAGGCCTTATTCTTAAGAGCTTATAATGGCAGGGACTGAAATTTGACATAGTGCAGCACAGGTTTATGTGTCTATGCAACACACACACACACACACACACACACACAAATCCAACAGAGACAAAATGGCAGATGGCTACGGTGAGGGGAAATGACTTTGGAGAGCTTTAGCTGTTTAATATCGCTCCTTTACTCAAAGGGGTGCGTGTATGTGTTCGCTGTCTTTATAGGCCAAATGATCTCCCCACGATGAAAACAATTGAAAGAAGATGTCATTTCTGAGCCTTAGTCTATCTCTAATGTTTCACTTAGTCAGTATGTACACATACTTGCCTACTATACAGAAAACATGTCAAATGTGAACAACCAGCTAACAGGGAGCGTTCTCAGACCTTTTGAACATTAATTTAATATATTCAATAACAAAATCTTTTAGCTATCCCCTAAACCAAGGGAGCTGAGGAGCCATAACTGAAAAATAAAAAACACACTTCACTTTAATGTTTTTTATTTTAAAAAGTGATTGTATGGTGTAAGAAGTGTTGGGTTGGTGTGTTTCAAAATATTTTAAATCTAATTATCTTAATACAATAGGCCTTTTAGTCAAAAGAAAGTCTCCACCATAATAGTAAACCAAATGTGCGTGTGTAAGTTAAGAAGGAGGCCAGCTCAGGTCATGTGCCGTGCAGTTTGGCAGATGGGTTGCAAGACTGGGGGCGTTATTAGTCATTGCCTATTGGCATCGCACATCTAATAATTTCCTTCTGTAGTACGAGAGAGCACTGAATAATCCATTCTTGTCCGCACATGATACAAGTGAGCGTAGTGCCGATTGTAGCATGTCTCCCAGCGTGTGGGTGATCGTATTGAAAGTGGCACGGTATTTTGAGGACATGATGCATTTATTCCTGCAGTGTGTGATTGGGTCTTGCCATCTTGATGAGGACCAAATGTCCTCAGATAGTATAGTAGGCTACAACATGAAATTAGCTACTTTGTGGGTAATATTATATGCTTTATTTAAGGGAAATAAAAACAAAATGTTATAAAAATGTGTGTGTTTGTAGGTGGAAGAGGAGCTGGTGTTGCCTGTCGGACGGAAACGCTCCTCTCTGAGTGGACTTTGCTGTCTGACAACTGCACTGATTGTCTTCACCTGCAGTTTGATATATGCTTCAATATATATCTACCGGTACTACATCATTCCTCAGGTAGCACACAATTATACGAGTGGCATAAAACTCAAAATAATGAATAGATAATTAGATGATAAGCGGCAGATTCCAGTAGTGCCAATTGTTTCTTTTTGGCTCAGCCACAGCTTATGTTTTATGTTCTGGTGTTATTAGGTGTTTATTAGGTGTTATGATTTCGACTTTTTACGTCATAGTTATGATTGACAAAAGCATTTATACATAAGAGTGAGACACAAGGTGCACACCTGCTAAAAGTGGTGCATAGTAAAGATCGATTTGTAGATTTAAGGGGTCGAGATCGCAATTAGGATACTATAAAATCGTTTTCCAAGCCCTATTTGATAGAAAGATGCACTGATTTATCAGCTGCCAATATTTATCGGCCGATTTTTTATACATTTTAAACCATCGGCATATTGGCTATAGCATGAAAAAGACTTTATTTAGCATAATTCTACTTTTTCTTGGTAAAATAATTAAATATTTGCTAAAACAAAATGAAATCTGTACAAAATACTCGACAATAAAGACGTTTTAGACGCCACGTTATAGACAGCGCAAAAATACTGAATTGAGTTATCTTCTAATTCACTCAAAATTATATCAAAACGTCCATCTTGGCGAGTGTCCTTGTAAACATTGTCAGTTATGTCTTAAATTAACATAAACAGTTGAGAAATAATACTCTTGTGTACCAGTATATTGGATCTGTGACAGCCTAATATTCCTGTTTTAATGTTACTCAAACCACAAAAGACTAAAAAATCACTCACTACTCTTGACTAAATACCTTTTGTAACTTAAATAAGGATACATATATATTTAATTTATACAATGAAACATATTTTACATGTGATTACTTTATTTTACTACTTGAAAACTACTTAGACCTACCTGAAAAGCACTGTTTATTTCATATGTATCTTTGTTCTGTAGTATTTATGTATCTAATCCATGTTCAATAGAAATCATTTGATGATGCAGCAATAAACTACTGTAGCAAGTATACCTTAATGCATGGGTTTTTTGGACTTTTCTAATTTAAAACATGATCAAAACACTAATCTATTTTAATGAAAAAAGTTCAAATAAGAGAGCAAGTGACAAGTATCGGACAATAGTTGTTTGTTAAAATAGGTATCATTATCGACCCAAAAAAGTCCTATCAGTGCATCCCTAATATAAATACTGTTGTTATCTTATGTTCTTGTGTTAAAAGATAGCAGTCATAAGATCAAAACAGTACTATAACATAACTTTAAATCATGTATTTTGAATGATGGCGATTCAGGTTCCGGATCAGAGTCGGTTCCACTGCCGTGTTGTGTACGAGGACTCGGTGGCCGCTCCACTGCGAGGCTCTCACGAGCTGGAGGAGAACGTGGGGATCTATCTGAAGGAAAACTACGAGCAAATCAGCGTGCCTGTGCCCGACTTCAGCAACACAGACCCTGCTGATATCATTCATGATTTCCACAGGGTAACACACTTGAAAACAGCTCACAAACGTTCAGTTACACATGACTTAGTTTCCATTATGCACTTTTTCACATTATTGTTTACAATTGTCCCTTTAGAATTGAACTGTTTGCATCATTGAATCTGTTTGTTTATTGAAACAATCTGTATTATATGTGTGCTATATAAATAAAGACGACTTGACTTGAGTTTTATCTGAATTATATGAATGTGTTTGGGTTTTTTAGGGTCTGACGGCCTACCATGACATTGCCTTAGACAAGTGTTATGTCATCGAGCTCAACACCAGTGTGGTAATGCCTCCACGTAACCTCTGGGAACTGCTCATCAACGTCAAGGTGCTTCTATTGTTTGTGTGTAATGGCAGTTTTGAAATGTGAATTATATCTACTTGATGTTGCCTTTCTATCTTTTTGTAGAAGGGGACTTACCTCCCCCAGACATACATTGTCCAGGAAGAGATGGTCGTGGCTGGACGTGTTAATAATATGCATCAGCTCGGCCGCTTTATTTACCGTCTGTGTAACGGTAAAGACACGTACAGGCTCCGTCGCCGCAACTCACGCCGTCGTAAGTTGACAAATGTTTGTCTTTTTTCATAAGTGTTTATAGTAGTGGTCGACGGATACGGTTTAGTCAATGTTGACATCTACGAGTCCAATTTGGCAATGCCAACTTACGGCCTAACTAATTCTTCATCTTCTTGGTGGGAGGAAACTGTGCTCCGGTGTGGCTTCACAGCTGCCATGCAAATCTGATTGACGTCCAGCTTAATAGCTCATTGCAGCTAATTAGCGGAACAATTAAGTAACACCCACGTTATGGCTTCCTGTATTAAGCAATCTATTTCTCCCTGGTTCCTGGAGATCCAAGGCTTTTTTGTGAGAATATAATATGATAATATCCATGACAACCACAAACTTTGGGAAAACTGGGACGATTTCATGGAAGGAGGCCATCTGTGTTAGAACGGATCAAGCTATTATGATCCATGAATATTTGATATTGTGTTACTTCTGTATAGCATATTTTGAAATTCATGTGAGCTTATGTGTGTATACAGTTCTTGTACACAGAGTCCCAGCTAACAGGGAATGTTTCACAATCTCACACAATCTCAGAACGTCCGGTCGCCTTATTTGACACCTTCAATAACAGACAGTTATCTGGTCTTCAATGATGTTCTCAAAACATTAGCACAGAAACGTTATTTATACATCGTTCATGAAACTTTTTTAAACTAAATGGTCGTCCAACGTTTTCAGAACATTCATAAGAAGCATTCCCATAATATGTGTAACATTATCAAATTAAATGTTCCCTCAATGTGGTTCCATACATTTATGAGTTTCTTTCTTCTGTGGAACAAAAAAGATATTTTGAAGAATGCCGGTAACCAATAATTTGATAGGCCCTATTGACTTCCATAGTATTTTTTTTTCCCCATTCAAGTCAATGCAGTCCATCAACTGATTTGTTACCGAAATTCTTCAAAAATATCTTCTTTTGTGTTCAGCAGAAGAAAGGAATCCATACAGGTTTGGAACAACTTCGAGGATGAGTAAATGATTCCAGCATTTTTGTGTGAACTCTTCCTTTTAATAGGAACATTAGCAAAATGTTCTTAGAACATATTTTTGTTAGCTGGGATACTAATCCATACGCTAAATAAATAATAGTGTAAGTATTTAAAATATTTCTTAAAGCCCCCCTGTAGTCAATAATTGTATCCCTTAAAACTCATCGTTTGATCACCAAAATGACTTATTTAAAAGTTTTTTCCTTGAAATTTTTTTTATTAATGCCTTAAAATGGCTTAAATGTAACGCTACACCCTTGCCTCATTTAGCATACGCGGTTATATAAATATGCAAATGAACCCCGCCTCCACACCAGCTCAGAGATCCACTCGTTGACGATCACACGTTGACCTGATTGGTTACAAGGTAGTGTGTGATGTCAGAAACACCAGCGATTTAAAACTGTCTTTGGTTCACTGCAAGAGAGAAAATACTGTTGACTCATGAATTTGCACATGGTTTGTCTTAAAGCGTAATAAAAACACCACATAGACATATAAACAACATTAAAAGCTTGATTTTCACCACAGGCGGGACTTTAATGCAAGTAACTCGTATTCGTAACTATTTTTTGTTTTGTTTACATAATTTTCGTTTTCTTCCCATTAGGTATCACCAAGCGTGATGCGCAGAACTGTCACCGAATCCGCCACTTCGAGAACACGTTCGTGGTGGAGACAGTGATTTGTGAGACTCCATAGGCTGTTTGCCTCATTGCCCCGCCCATTTCTGATGAGATCACATCCGTTGTTCTCGGTAGCCACACCCCTTTGAAAATCACACTCTTTACCTCTGATCCCTCATGTCTTTAAATCCCATTTCTCTCTCTCTTTTTGTACTTCTCTCTCTAGTAATGTGTATCATTACAAATGTTCCCTTGAAGTTATCTGAACAGTTTGTTTCTGCATATTTGCAATAATGAGCATTTTCAACTTGATTAAAAATGTAACCGTAGCATCTGAAGTCTTAAAATGAGAAGAACACATGGGCATTAAGCTGCACAATGCCTGCATGCTTGTACCTGCGTGTCACTGGCTGTTTGTGCTCCATCAAAGTCCTCTTTGCTCTCTTATATATTTGCGTGTTTTTAGATCTATTCTTCTCAGTCATGGATAGGGATGCATCGAAATTTTGGTCAAAATGCCATGCAATGAAGAGAAAACTGGCCAAAAATACTCACAGGAAGCGTTACTCTAACATCCGATCTTTAATGTAGCTAAATGTACACTACCAAAAAGATTTTCTTGGTATTTTTTTCTCGTTTTCCATCAAAAATATCAACAACAACAAAAAAAAATCTTATATCAAAATCAATGCATTTTCTTGAGAAAATATTAAGTCTTATTTTCTGGACAAAAATGCATAAAACAAGAACTAATATGTGATTAGGGTGAGAAAAAAAATAATATTGGTTTCCTTTTCAGGTAAGTTTATTTTTCTGACCCCATTGACATATTTTTTTCTTATTCTAAACAAACTTGCTTCATTTTTGGTATATTTTTTCAGAAAGCGAGACTTAATATCTTAGGTCATTTCGCTTCTTATGTAAGTGTATCTTGATTTAAGAATGTTTAGATATTTTGTACTGGAAAACTAGACACTAGAAATTCAATTTTGTTCAGTGCAGATGACGTTAGATCATATGTAAATGGAAATATATCTCATTTACAGCTTTCTGTATGATTGATGAGCACAAATAACTCACTGAAGTCGAAGCATATTGTGGTAGAAATGGCAAATTCACTATTCACGTTGTACTTTAATTTAAAACGTATCGATCACAGTCTTGGTTAAAGGCACATTATTAAAGGCTATTTTGCTCAACTTCTTGTATAATAAACGTCAAGACAAATCGTCACACATTTGTAAAGGTGAATTAACTTCTCTAGCAAAACTGTGTCTTGCCCCTGTGTTGTGTATATTCTTTTCTTTCGGTGCATCACTACTCATGGATATCCTAACTGATCCTAGAGCCAGTTATAGCACCTGGTTACATTTATCACACGTGTTCGTTTATTACGTATCTATTTCAATATCCAGTACTCGGCGTATGCCACTTGTAGTGCTTCTACAACATGCTTCCTGTGCCACTTCCTCATTTCTTTTCTCTCTCTGCATGCTTTTGAAGAGAACACATGCATTGTTTGAGTATTTTCTTATCATATGAGTGAAGCCTTAGGCCAGATTCATGCCCTGGACTAATGTATACAATCTCAAAAGCTCTTCGTGTTTATGTGTGTGTGTTGAACTTAAAAAAAAACTGGTTTAGTTAGGTGAATCAAACATGTAAATAAACCATTAAGACCTACCTAAGTCATTGAGCATCTTTCTGTTACAAAACACTGACAGCATGAGCGAGCACATTTCACAATTACAAAAATTGTAGTTTATGTTGCGTAATTGCTTGTTCCACACCCTTTTCAGGGACTATAAAGATATCCTGCTGACCAAACAGCTTGCAAAACACATACCGTAGACCATTGTGATGTGAAATCAGCAGGGAAACTTTGAAAAATTGTAAGAAAGAGGAAATTAAATACATGCGTTTCATTGTGAACCATTATTCTTGTGCACGCCTTCAAAATAATCTTGTAAGGTCATAAGATGATCTTGTCTAAACTTCTTCTCATAAATTAATCAGTGATCTACATATGCCAATCTTCCCCCTCTCGGTTTAGTCAGCGGTTACAAATAAGACTGTAAGATTGTTACTTATGAGTCATATGTAGTGTATAATTCCTAGTTTGACAGCACATGAATGGTTCAATCAAAAGCTAACATTCTGTCTTCTTTTACTCACCATGAAACACTCATCTGAAAAGTTCCAAACTGACAAAAGGCACCATAAAAATAATCAATATGATGCCCTAAGTTTTTTGGAGGCATGTGATAGATTTGTGGGAAGAACAAATTGAAATCATTTAGGTCATTATTACATTCACTGTTAACTTGAGAAACACTGCGACTGGACAATTGAGTCAGTGAGTTGATTAGAACTGAATCAGTTCACTTTGTGAACAAATCATTCAGTTCGATTTGTGAGATCAACTGGTTTATTAAAAAGAATTAGAATAATGTATTAATGTATAATAATGTATTAACAAATTTGACTGGCTTTGGAGCTTCACTCCTAATAAGAACTGTTATCTTTTTTCAGCAGAATCAAGTATTCCACAGAGCCGTGTAATATAATATATAACATAAACATATCGAGGGGTGACATTTCACCAACTTTACAGGAGGGCCAAAACAAAAAATGACCATAGTTTGATCTGACTTTGTACTGATTTCAATCTTTTATAATAAACTTGTGTACACACATGGATGACAGTATACTTATTGAACACTATTTTAACATTTAATCAGAAAAATTTAATCTAAATAAAAAAATAAAATAAAAACACATGCACCTTTTTGGCATCTAGGTTTGATTCCATTTCGTATGTATGAAAACATGGGCACATCTGATGACAATATGAGCAAAGCATTACATTAATGAGTTTAAAAGAAATAACAATCTATTGTGATAAAAAATTAAATATCACATAAAATGTCCTTGCATCAAATTAGTAATCCCTAAAAGCTTTAATTTGAAATATATATCTCCATTTTACCCAATATGTTACTAACACCCCTCTGGTTCTCACCCGTCGATATACTATTATAGGTATAATATTGCTGTATTTATTTTATTTTTATATTCCAAAAAAGTATTTATTTTGAATAAGTAATTACTCCACGACCGCTAAAAAAGTATGTTCTACATAGTATGAATGTGTGTAGACGTCCAGACGTACATCTGCCGTGTTGTCATTATCATGTGACCTACCAGTGTCAGTTACTGTCGCTTCACTGTCATTCTCAAATCCTCTCCCGTGGCCTCATGGGATAGTAAAGTGTCCGTCGTATGCACACTCGGAATCTCGCTGGAAGTAGTAGGTCATCCGGGTACTTTGTGTCTACTCTTTTATGAGTACTGTGAATTCACACATACTTCTTTTGTCACATACTGTTTTTCGCCTAATATATAAAAATGCGACTTAATTACATTATACTCATTCACTTAAGCAGCCTCAGACGGGTTTGTTCATTCTATAGTAGCATATACGTGCGCCAAAACTGAAAGTGATGTAGTTGAGTGTGACAAAATAAAGTGTGACGGTCTTCGCATAATCCGCAAATGGTAACTGGAGATGCATTTGAGAGAACAGGGTTTCTCTCTCGCTCGCTCAATTTCCAGCATATCGTATAATTTGTGGGCGTCAGGGAGTCGTTATAAATATGCGGGAGACTCCCGGTGTTGTGCCGAATTTTAACCCCTTGCCAAATTATTTCCCCCCTCCTGGTTGCCTAATCCTAACCCCACACCTAATCAAAGGCTGCATCCGAAATTAGCCTACATGCTTCCCTATATAGACCAAAAACAGTATGTGTTTTGAGGCCCATGAGGCCACAGGAGAGGATTGTGAATGACAGTGAAGCGACAGTAACTGACGCTGGTAGGTCACATGATAATGACAGCATGGCGAATGTAGTATATCTGGATTACTTCAATTTAAAGTGTAATGGTGTGTTCACACCGAACGCGAATTTTATTATTTGCGCGAGTAGATAACATACAAAGTCAATGCAAAGATGCGAATAGACGCATGATTCGCGCCGGGCGTTGCGAATGACGCGAATTGGGCGACGCGTTTGCCGCGAATGTCTTCCGCGCAAGTTGAAAAATTTGAACTCGAGCGAACGTTCAAGTGTCTAACTAGACGCGATAGACGCGTATTTGACGCTCTATTCGCGTTCGGTGTGAACACACCATAAGTGTCCTCGCCTTCCATTGTCAGTTGCGCTTGCTCTATTTGTGTGTCCTCAATATGGCATTCGAGTCTGAGGCAAAGGGAGCAGGGAAACAACTCTCCTCAATATTTAAATTCGGACTGCAGTACTCATTTCAACTAGCTGTCAATATTACATACTGCACCTTTAATAGCGGCAGAGGACAAAACTTCAGCACGCGTTTAATAAACAGACCAATATCGTCCGCTGGTGTGGACGCTAATATAGTTATCTGTTATCGTTCTTGGTGTGATCTGGCGCTATGAACTGTTATTTCTGTATGGATTCTTCAAACAGTAGGCCTAACAGGTTTTGAACAACATGAAGGTAGGCCTAAGTAAATCACAGAATCCTCATGTAAAATAGTTTTTAATGTGAGTAAACTAGATATTACTGACAAAAACCCTGCGAGCAATATAATAACTCATATTAAAGTTATTTGAATGCAGTGTTTCTGACTTTTGACCCTTTGTATCATGTAATGATTTTTGAAGTTATTGTGTCCACCTTTTTCCTGAGAGTCGTCTGCGTTTTGAATAATGTGCAGACTAGGCACGTCAGGTTTGGGGAACTTCCACTCAAGAAGACAGAAACTCATCATTTCAAATCCCCTTTTCACTTCTAATCCCTATTAGGAACATAAAGAATAATAGTTATCTGTCAAAACAGAAAGCATTGTGAAATATTATTACTCAATGTTCCAGTTAATGAACATTGCTGTTAAGGCAACATGTTACATAATACTGTAATATTGCTGCTTAAAGAATCTAACTTTTAGGGTTATTCATGCTCTGTTGAAGTACTTTCTTACACTTTTAAATGTGTTTTTAATGTCGATGGTTGAAGGGTGAGTAGAATAATGTCATCTCATTGTACACAGTTTTTGAAAATGCTTATTATTACACTCATAAAGCGAACCTTTTACCAGTTTACAGTTTAACGGAAGTTACTTAAATAATTCACACAAAGCATTATGGGACGTAGGAAAGCTGATGAAATATGCCACCAAGTCCAAAGGACCACTTCCAAACACAGCATAGTTACCAATCCTTCTGCTTTATGCATCAGCAGTGTTAGTTTACACAATCTAAACACAGTTTATAGAACAAATTCTCAGCAGTTAAGTCATGCTTGAGACTTTCACCAAATGGGTTTATTAGGATTATATAAGATTGTTAGGTGTGTGGCAGCTATAAAACAACAAAAACACTATTTTGCATTAGTCAATCTAAAATAGTTTACAATTTCCACTTCTGCTCTTTATATTTAAATCTATACTGTATTAGTGTATCTAGTTGTTTGGCACAAAGGGAGAAAGAACAGGAAACATGACTCAACATGAAAATATGACACCTGCAAGGCAACAGTTTTGACACATTTTAAAATTTATGTTAACCATAAACACAAAAAACATATACTGTATGTCAGGGTATTAATATAAACACCCTTGTAATATAATATGACAACAATTAGTTCATATGATCAAAGACACCTTGATTGAGAAATCCCAGAAACATCAGAATCATGCTGATTGCTGATTGCATGTTGACTTTTTAAAAAAAATATTATTGTGGTTTATAGAGGTCACTTTTAAGACTTTTTACCTGTCACCTGTACACACACACACACACGTATGTAATTTAAAAAAAAAATGTTGTGGTTTATAGCGGTCACTTTTAAGACTTTTTAGAAACAAAAACAAAGTCCTAAAACTTTTTTATTCTGGACATTAAAATAAAAAAAAAATTTCTTTGATAAATTGAATTGATAAATTTTTTAAGAGTTTAAAGAAAATCGAAGAAGTTCTTTAAAATCACCTATATATTAACTTTACAAAAATAAGCATATCCATATAATATATATGTATATAAATAATCCATATTTAGGATCAGACATTAATGACGCAGGTTTTATGACAGACACATTTATCATATTTAAGCAAGTTTAAAGTTTGAGTCTGATCATCTGCGTCCCCACCTGATCTCAGACTTCATGGTATATGAATTTTAGACGAAACCCACAGACATAATTTACATTTTTGTGGTTGCCAGTGATGCACAACAGATGCACACATTAGACTTTAGGCCCAAATATTTTGCTTTTAAAAACGGTAAGGTTACATTGACACAGTTGTCTCATCTTGTTAACACAGGAAGTGGAAAAAGGCATAGTTTCAATGTGGTTCACCAGTCATCACCGTGAAAATAAATATTAATATATACAATTAATAACATGTTTTATAGACTACATTATCAACAAAAATATGACTTTTCTCTGTTGGAGATATTCTGAAAACCACATGTGATACTGACTAATAAGTCTTTACATATAAGCCAGTTAAAATGTAATGCAATTAAATATTATTTTATATATATATATATATATATATATATATATATATATATATATATATATATATATATATATATATATAATAACAATACGATATTCTAGTCAAACAGATCCAATAGCATGTGGTGTATTTAGACCACGTATTTGGACATTTCAATGAGACTTTAAACAAAATATCCAACCATCTTTTTTTATGCCGTTTAACCCTCTCATGGTGTATGAAATGAGTTCTGAAGTTCACACAGCTGTTCTGAAAGATTAAACACCATAGATCTATTAATCACGTTTGACACCCAAAGTGTCTTCCTTACCAAATTTCTGAGGGCACAGATGTTTTTTCAGAGTCCAAACTTTTGCGAAGAAAACAAAAGTACGCGGAAGAAAAACATATTCAGTGCTTTTTCGAGGGAACGCTAAAGCATTGAAATATTTGTTTTGTTTTTAATCATGACAAACATGTCCCCTTAGAGTCTCCGTAGTAGCCTATCTACTGTAGGCTATATCCTAACGATTTCCAGCTATTTAAGACCTTTCCATCGTCCTGCTGAGAGAATACGTTCCCACATCCGTTTGTCTTTTCCCCTTGTCCTGCCAGAAGGAGTCCAGGGAGAAATAGTAGATGAGCGGATCCAGACAGCAGTTGACACTCGCCAGGCAGATGAGCCCTCGTAAAATCTGTCCTTCTTTGTCCTGCGTTTTTATTAAGAGTATTATAGTAAACGGCAGGAAAAATATAATAAACACCAACATATTGACTGCAAAAATCAGTATCACGTTCATTTTGTTGTTGATCTTGGCGGCGCCAGTGCTGGGACGCTTACTCAGTGCGACTATGACCACGACTGTGGAGACGATATTGACCACCAGCAGAATTAATATAAATGTCGCCTGTGCAATCGCGGAGGTTGGCGAACCCTTGGCGAGCACTTGAAACTCGAAGCACGGTGTGTAGTTGGGGCACTTTTTCAGTTTGCTGCGAAGATGTAAAATCTCCGGGATGCAAAGGATGGTGATGAGGATCCACACAGCCACGCAGCACTTGCAGGCGCACGCGGTGGTTCGCAGAGACCGGGAGCGCAGAGGGAAGACCAGGGCGAGCAGCCGGTCCACGCTTATTAAAGTGATGAAGATACAGCTCGTCCTGATGTTGACGCGAAACAGTAGGATGGCAGCGGTGCACGTGCCCACTCCAAAAGGCCACTGGAGCGTTGCGTAAAAGTAGACGCGCAGCGGCAGGGAGAGCACGAGGAGCAGGTCGGACACGGCGAGGTTCACCATGAGCACGGCGCATGGTGACCGGAGCCCGTGACTGCGCAGGAGGATCCACAGGGACACCGCGTTGAGGGGAAGACCCACTGCCAGAACCAGTCCATACACGACAGACGAGACCAGGAACCGGTTGGAAGGATCGAGTGCATCAATGCATGAGTTGGTGGAGTTCCCAGACATGTTTCAGGCGTACAGGAATCAGAAAGGCTGGGTCGAAGTTGGCCTCTTAGTTTTTAATTGTCCTCTGGGTGGATTTTAATAGCGATTTTGAGATAATCCAGAGAGATATGAAACGACTATGAGGAAGGATGTAGATTAAGGTAAGGGGGTTTCTCCGCCTCTTTACTAATTCTCACGGTAGGTTCAAATATTGAATGAGGTAGGCTATTGGCTACAAAAATTTGAACATTTCCATGTGTCATTACAGTCCGTGACTGTAATGTGTCTGTAAGTGTATAAATGTATCGTAAATTACAATGTAAAGCGACCTTGAGCTACGGAAAGGCGCTATATAGATAAAACTTCTTCTTCTTCTTCTTCTTCTTCTTCTATGTGTCAATGCTCAGGAAATTATACAATTCACTGACCTCATTTTGACCTTTTTGGGTCATGTTGTCACAATATGGCTTAAGATGTCACATAGCCATTATCTATTGGCTTTAAGTAAAATTTAAACAGTGAAAGAATTAAGGCTATATAACCCATGAAATAATTTAAAAAACAGGAAAACGCAAAATGTGACAAAAAAGAAGAAATTGCATCTGGTAGGCTACTCTTGTTTTTCTTTTTCTTTCTTTGTTATGATTTTCATCACTACAATGCATGTAATTTTTAATGTTTTTATTAACCTGTATTACTGTATTAAATAAATGTTACAATGTTTTTAAATTAATATCCATTCATTTCGAATTAGGTTTAAGGTAATATATTTTTATATAGGCCTATAGTCTACTTGAAAATGTGTTGTTTATTTTTGTAAAAAATATATAATTAATTAAATTATTTATAATAAGGAGACACTTTCTGCTTCCCAAAGTGATGTTTGCGCTGTGTTTGCATACTTTATCACAGCTGAAGTGAAATGAATGCAATATTTGTCAAATACACAGATGTTTATGATATGTTTTCTATCAATACTTTATGTACTGCTTAATACATCGTCTATTTGTTCAAGAATAAAGTAGCACATGCCTATATAGTTATATAGCAATAAAGTGCTATTAATTCACCTGTACACACAGTGTCCTGTGTGTATACAGACTTCACACCTACCTACATACTCCTTTATATGGAATTTCTACTCCCGAATATCAAATTATATTTGTAAATATAACCATAAGGTTAATAAATGGTACATTAATAAATTCTAACAGATATGCCTACATATCCCAACTTGATATTTAAGAAGAATAAATGTAACCGAACAGGTCAACCTTTCAGCTTTAAGAGGAATGTCAGTGTAGTTGTGTTGTGCTCGAGCAAAAAGGACTCGAGAAAAAACTAACACATTGAGCAAGAGCACTGAGAGCCATTGTGACACCTGACACATTACCATATCTAAAAACATGTCTTCTTGTGGGTTTATTGTACAGATTAGAATGATTTCTGTAGCCGTGCTGGAAATCATCTTAAGAAAGGAAGCTAAACAAATACGCCTCACATGGTATACACATATTTTATTACAAACTGTTATTTATTGTAATAAATAACATGAGTATCAAACAGACAAAGAGAGATGGTGACAACAGTCAGAACAGAAGTACAGGTTCTGAACATCTGTGAATACATTTTGTAAGTATAATTGATAAATTAGAGTCAAATACACTTCTATAAAATGACTCAGCTACATTGAAGCAGCGTAATATTTTTGATAAAATAGATATGCAGAGCACCTTTAAACAAAACACATTCAGTCAGGGTTATGGCATTAAACTTGATTTGAAATAAAATACTAAAATGTAGCGTTTTGTCAAACTTCCCTGCTATAAAACAAGACACTCCCTGTCAATTGCATTTAACCTTTACCCATTCATAACACATTTCTTTTCACATTTTCAATCAAATGCTTCTGCTTTAGAACGGGAACCTTTGACATCAACTTAAACTTTATTCTGTGGCAGGAAGATATCGTTAAAGTTAATCATTTCTTATAACATGAGCACTGTCACTGAACTGGCTTTATGTGAGCTATAAATATCTTGTTGGCTGACAAGCTATGGGAGTCCTTGAAGCAGATCGAAGTTCGTCCTCTGCTGGCGAGAAGAGGAACTGAGTTTGGACCAATCAAATCAACAAAACAGGTGCGCATTCCTTACATAATCAGGTTTCAAAATACTGTCTTTGATTAAATATGCATTTGATTGAACAGTATTTTATATTTTGCAAAAGCAAAATGTAATCTACAATTAGGACTTTGTTATTTATTTTTTATTAAATGTTTTTGCATTGTGGACATTTTCAGAACAAATTAAAGGTGCAGTATGTAATAATGACAGCTAGTGGTTGAAATGGGTACTGCAGTCCAAACTCAAAAAATATGAGAGTGTTTTTTTTTTTGGCCCTCTCCTCATTGGAGTCGATGCTCACGTGGGTTGCCAGATTGAGGACACGATCTGCGATCTCTGACCCAGTTTGTTTGCAGACTTCCTTTGCTGCAATTCCCTGTGTTTCCCTCTAACTGGCAACCCGCGGTGTCGAAACACTATTGGGTAAATTGGAAGTGGGCGGGATCAAACAGACCAAAACAAAAACAGACATTCCCACATGGAACACCTTTCACAGTAAAATAACTGACTGTCTGATTGTGTTTTTTAAAGAAACAAGTATTTGAACTTATCATGTTTCCTTAATATCTGCATTTAATTAATATGTGTTAGTGTAAAAATGCTGTTTGTAATGTTTTTAAATAAAATCATGTTTAAATGAATTAAATTCAAAATAACATGCGTCTGATGTATAAATATAAAAAATAAAATTACAAATTATTTTTCTGATATTTCTGGTCATTTTACTGTTACAGTAATGAGAATGAAACTTTTTATTTTGCATCACAGTAATGAGAATTGGAGGGTCAAATTAGCCTTATTGTCTTGAAAATAATGTCACAATGCAAAAAAAAAAAAAAAAAAAAAAAACTAGAGAGTACCAATATAGTAATATACATAAAACATAAAAATATACTTTCATTTTTAAAATGAAACATTTGGGGGTAAAATGTGACCCGGACACCTCTTTTTTTAAGTAAACATAAAATTCACTCCAAAATATTGTATACCATGGCTCAAAAAAGCTGTAAGTGTTATGTGATTTAAAACAAATTGATAATAATAAAATACAGCTAAATTTTGTTTTTAAAAAATTCACACATCCTTTGTGTATACAGTAGTTCCCATCCACCAACACACTCAGCTCATCTACACAAGCATGTCTTACTGTCTCCTTCGCTGTGTTACTGTAGGATTAATCATCCCAGAGTTCAGTCTTCCTGAATTTCCTATAAGTCTTTATGTAAAACCAGCAACCACACTTACTTCCATCTTCTCAGTGTCTTTGGATGAACCATTACACGTTTCGCTAAATAACATTTGATTCTTTGAACGTATGCGCGTCTCTCTGACGTGTATAGCCATTCTCCTATCTCGCTTTGCAGACTCCAGGTTCTCCTTAAGAATGAAGTAGTAACACGCGCCATCTGCCAAGATGTTCACGTTGCTAATACATATGCTTACGTGCACAAAATAGCGCAGATGATCGATGCTGGATGAGTCCGGGTTGCTTGTCTTGGCATGGAAGTAAAGCAGCACTGCTATGTGGTAAGGAATGAAGCATGTGAGGAACACCACCAGGTTGCTGAGGACGATCTTCATGCTCTTGTTGTTGCGCAGTTTGGCATCGCCTGGATTGCGTGTCCTCAGGCCGTGCAGGATCTGCACCACGCGCACGGAACAGAACACCATCAACAAGGCGCTGCTGCAAAACACTGTCTCCATTGAGACCAGAATCCAACTTTTGGACCAAGTTCTGTTAGAGAATTGCTGGAAGCAAAAAGTTGAAGAAGTGTTGTTTAGACCATCGCGAAGATTGAAGATGGGGACGCTGAATCCAAAGACCGCCATCCACAGGACCAGACACACGAGCATCGCCTTGCGCGGAGAGCGCAAACGAAGCGCAGCGAACGGAAACCGAAGAGCGATGTAGCGGTCGACCGCGATGCACATGCTCAGCATGATGCTGCCGTAGATGTTGACGTAGAGCAGGCTCTCGAGCAGGGAGCAGAAGGTATTGCCAAGAGTCCATTGCTTCTTGTACGCGTGTATCTTGAAGGGCAGCGACACAATCAGCAGGCCGTCGTTGATGATCAGGTTGATGAGGTAAACCGTGGATTCGCTCAAGCGGCGAACACGGAAGAGCAGCAGCCACAGAGCGGCCAGGTTCAGAGGGAGGCCGAAGACCAGAATGGGCACATACACGCACCACTGGACCCAGCACACCCAGTCACAGTCGGCTGCTATGGAGGAAGAGAAACCGAGAGGTTAGTATCCCAGCTAACTGGGGACGCTCTCAGAACTTCGGCTAATGTTCTGGCTATAGGTTCCGTCAAAAGTTAATAACAAACGTAACATTAAAGGGTTAGTTCACCCAAAAATGAAAATTCTGTCAGTAATTACTCACCCTCATGTTGTTCCAACCCCGTAAGACCTCCGTTCATCTTCGGAACACGAATTAAGATATTTTTGATGAAATCTGAGAGCTGGATCACACCTCCATCCATACTAGTCCATAGGCTTCTTCAGGGATTGAACTTGCCGGCCTCGAAAAGTTATTAAAGACATCGTTAAAATATTCCAAGTGACTACAGTGGCTCAATCTTAAGTTTATCAAGCGACGAGAATACTTTTTGTGCGCAAAAACCCCCCAAAATAACGACTTTATTTCAACTATTCATTTCCTTCTCTCTGGGCCTCAAGTCAGGTTACTAGTTTAACAGCGTACGCTTCTGTTGTTGTACGTCACACGCATCATCACGCACATGACCAGCGTCGGCCAATAGTGAGCCTACGTGTGACGTAGCTCTACGGAATCACACTACGTTAACTGACTAGAGGCCCAAAGTGAAGGAAATGAATAGTTGAAATAAAGTCGTTATTTTTGTTTGTTTTTGCGCACAAAAAGTTTTCTCGTCGCTTGATAAACTTAAGATTGAGCCACTGTAGTCACTTGGACTATTTTAACGATGTCTTTAATAACTTTTCGAGGCCGGCAAGTTCAATCCCTGAAGAAGCCTATGGACTAGTATGGAGGAGTGATCCAGCTCTCAGATTTCATCAAAAATATCTTAATTCGTGTTCCGAAGATGAACGAAGGTCTTACGGGGTTGGGACAACATGAGGGTGAGTAATTACTGACAGAAATTTCATTTTTGGGTGAACTAACCCTTTAATGTAACTTTTGTTCAAATTCATCGGGTCTTTAATAACGCCCTCAAAACATTAGCACCAAAACAAAAAAATCTGAAATGTTTTATTTGGACATTCATCTAACCTTTTTTAGATGTTACTACTTGTTTCAGAGTGTTCAGAGAACATTTAAAAGTATGATTGAACGAATGAGGCATTTATAGAGCGCTTTCGTTTGTACTACTGTACACCCAAGTAACATTCCTAAAATTAAGATATAGGAAAAGTAACATTCCTATAATGTGTGAAGAATTTACGAAATGGAATGTTCCCTTAATGTTCTTATAAACATTTAAGAACTGGACATTTTGAATGTTCAGAGAACATTCAGAAATAAACGTTTACACAACTTTAATGGGAACGTTAGCAAAACATTTTTAGAACATACGGGGTTTTTAGAACATACAAATATTCTGGGTTAAAGTACAAGTTAAGATCAATCTAGAGCATTTGTGGCATAATGTTGATGCATTAATTGATCAAAAGCGACAGTAAATACATTTATAATGTCACAAAAGATTTCGGTAACACTTTACAATAAGGTTCATTAGTTAACATTAGTTAATGTATTAACTAACGTGAACTAATAATGCGCAATACATTTGTTACTGTATTTATTAATCTTTGTTAATGTTAGTTAATAAAAATCCAGCTGTTCATTGTTTGTTCATGTTACTTCATAGTGCATTAACTAATGTTAACAAATACAACCTTTGATTTTGATAATGTATTAGTTAATGTTGAAATTAATATTAACTACGATTAATTAGTGTTGTAGAATCATTGTTCATTCTTAGTTCATGTTAACTAAGATAGTTAACTAATAAACCTTATTGTAAAGTGTTACCAAGATTTGTATTTCAAATAAACAATGTTCTTTTGAACTTTCTATTCATCAAAGAATCCTGAAAAAATCATGTATCACAGTTTCCACAAAAATATTAAGCGGGATAACTATTTTCAACATTCAAAATAATAATAAATGTTTCTTGAGCAGCAAATCATCATATTAGAATGATTTCTGTGAAACTGAAGACTATAATGATACTGCAAATTCAGCTTTGATCACAGGAATAAATTACATTTTAAAATTCAAATAGAAAAACAGTTATTTTATATTGTAATAATATTTCACAATATTACTGTTTTAACTATATATTTTTAAATAAGTGCAGCCTTGGTGAGCAGAAGAGAACATTAGTGTATATTAAATTTGACAGCTATGACAATGGAAGGCCATAACTCTAAAACAGCTTTAAAAATTATGACTTTAACAGAAGAGTTACACATTTTAACGGAAGAGTTCATATAAGTGTTTTCATAAAATATAAAATAATCATCACATCTGCTTTTAAATCCTCCATTGTAGTGCAAAGAATTACAAACATTTTGCCCAAAAACATTACTTTTATGTTCCACGAAGAACGTCATTCATACAGATCTGGAACAATAAGTAATCGGATGGCAGAATGTTCATCTTTTTTCAGAAGAAGGTTGTTTGTACCTCACAAGTGAGACACTCTTTTTCAACATATTACAAATATCAATTATTGTAAACAAGATGTTACTTGTTGTTTTTTACACTTGGTGCAAACAGTATCTTTCACCATTTATACTATTACACTTGGTGAAAACATAATGGGGGGAATCATATAAATGTACGATGATGCTGTAACTGGCATGTGATTTTTATAATTTAGATCAATTCAATAGTTTTGACATGAATTTCTAAAATTGCAAATATTCAATGTAGTGACCCCTTATCGTACAGATCATATTTACATGAATACAAACACACCTACACCACATTCAATACTGTCTGCCTAAATAAATATGTGCAAAACTGGTCTGTTATATGGTCTGTTATATCGGTTGTATAGCAGAGTTTATGAATTTATTATGGACCAACACTGCACCTATAATTATGAACCCACAATATACAGTTATTGGCTTTCCATGAACAAAAATGATGGTGTTTTGTATTTCAACATGTTGATTGTTCTTCTAAAAAGCAAACTTCTTTGGGTTTGGCTTCATTAAAGGCTGAAACTGTTGAAACATATGTGTCTGTCTTTACTATTTAGACATGCTAATGAAATCAAGACAGAAACTATTTTTGGGGGGTGGAAAATGTAAGTGTTGCTTACAGCTATGAAACGGCACATGTGACTGAACAAGATGCTGTATGTACACTAGTGACATCATGGTTTTAGTTAACTCAAGTATGCCGAAACTAGTGCCGATTTCCTGACCAACCTCTCGGGATGCTCTACCCACGTGTGTGTGCCATTTAAAGGTAAAGGTTTGAGGTTTATTTTGGAGGCAGAACATCCTGATATGTATTTCCTCCGTGGCTAAATGTGCTAAAAAAAAAGTGACACATCTAGCTGATAGTATTTCTGTGTAAAAATTGTTTGTGTAATATATTTTATGTGCCAATTTCCAATATGATGGTTTTACTAGGTTTAATTTTCAGAACAAGCTATAGTTTCCAACTTCCCTGCATTGTCTATCCTGAATAATGTTATTTTTTTAATATACAGTATATATTCAAAAAGTTACTTCATTTCGATAGTCCACTTTAGACATTCTAAGTAACTTTGCAAGTAGACTAAATGTCAATTAACTCTCCTTTAGTATTAGACTGTTGGGTTCAGGTTAGTAGAAAAAGTTACTTATAGTCAGTAGAATGTTTGTTGTGGGCATCAAAATAAAGTGTTAGCCGATATTAAGCAGACAGTTTACTAATACTCTAATGACTGTCTATAGACGTGTAGTTGCAAAGTTACTAATAGTTAGTAGAATGTCTGTGGACTGTCGAAATAAAGTGTTAATATTTGTGTACATAGCCTAATGTTATAATTCAAGTTAAACATATTTGAACATAAGTATTGAATTTTGCTGTGAGTACCAACCCTGAGGTGTAAAGAGAGATGAAACTCTTATCCCATGTCTCATCTGATCTAAAACAAACAATTTATGGAAATACATGCAAATAGCCTTGGAACTAACCGCATCCGGGTATATCATTTTTAAACATGGTCATATTTTAAATGTGATTTAAATTTCTAATTATAAATTGGTCAAATATATATCTTCTGACTAAGATTAAAGTAAGATTCAAGAGGGCTGCATGCTTTCCATCCGACCGCAAGGTTGGTGAAATGTCTCCAGAAGTAGGTTACATATGTATGGTGTCTTCAGATCAAACGCAGATTGATGGAAATTCTCAGATGATAAAAGGCGGCAAATGGAAATATTTTTGTTCACTAAACACATTAAACTTGAACCATTAGCCTTGTTTATTTGATACGTTTACCACTTTGAATTGAATTACTGCTGAGGAAAATCCAGTAGCCTAACTTGAAACTTATAAAAATCAAGTAGAAATTAGACTAGCCTACAAAAATGATTGTGACAAGATAGATGCTATGACTATATAGTTTTCTTTCTTTATTATTATTATTATTATTTTTTTTAACATAATATGATATGAATTCGGTTGATCTGAACCAAAACAAGACATTTAAAAACACGTAGGTCACAATTTTCATTTTCGAGCAAATCATTATAATGTTTTTAACTATAGTAAAATCAGCCAACATGTCAGAATGACTCTGAAAAACGCTCTTGAGTTTACAATCGTAGATAGCTATCGCTTAATTTAGTCGGAAACTGCGGTTACCTTAGTAATTTTTGTATGAATGCACTATTCGCGGTTACTTACATGATTGGTTGGTGCTCATTCCCACTGTTAGTAGGCTACTATAAATGATTTGTCCCGGTGGTGTCTGCCGTTATCCAGACTTCAGGGCAGGTTGTAGATCCTCGCGGGAGTTGATTTGTGAAAACTGTCTGAAGCATTGCGTGTCTGTTGGATGATTTCTGTCTCTTTTGTTTCCGCTGCAGACCGACTCTGCAGTCACACAGAAACTTGTGAGCTTTATCTGACAAAAGAGAAACTGTTAAACGCGCTCACGCGCGCTGTTGTGTGTGGGTTTGGTGAAGTGAGAAGCCAAATAATTAGGTATAGCCTACACTTACACCCACCAATGCTTAAAGTCATTTTGTGTCCAATTATATGGCATTTTGACAGAATATATTTGAGATGTCAAAGTTGGAACCCAGCTAACAATGGACGATCTAATAACTTTATAGCTAATTATAAAGTTTAATTATATAGATTTATAAAGTTTATAAAGTATTAAGTTTAATTTTATAAAACTTTATTTTGATTTGACTTCATTCTAATTGGCAACATTCAGCTTTTTCTCACGGCTGCTACCATCATAAATGGGGAACAGTAGTAGCCTACAGTAGTGCAATAGTGTGACAAAGTACCAAACCTCAACACCAGATGACGACAGATCTCAAGTTCCGCTTAGTGACTTGCAAAACCATTGCTGTGCACACTTACAATGCCCTACATGTAGGCCTATGTACTGTTTTTGTGAAGAAACTTTTTGAGTGTGTAACAGAATAGTAGGCACGCTTTGGGACATAGCTACTTGTCATAACGGATCGCTTTGTCTCTCAGTTACTTGCATCCTGTCACCGTTTAAAGTCCCCATGAAATCGAAAAGTTTGGGGCTTTTAGTATGTTAACCTTAAGGTTTTCTATAAGCTATGTGTGCTCCAAAACAATGACACAATTTGCATTTAGAATATATAATCATTCAGAACTTACTGTCTCTCACTTCCACCAATATGGATCAATGATTTTGATGACATCACTCTGCACATCAGGGCTGCGTTCAGCCCCAACAAAAAGTTTCAAAACGTTTTTTAGACGGAAACGGTGGTGCGTTGAACACCCATTTCTGGTGATGGAAGAGTTGCAACTATGGCAGCTGAGAAGGCCATTCTTTGAGTTCTTTTTGAAGAATTTTCGGAGCCTGATGAAATCGGTATAAATACTGCAAAATACGCTAAATGTAACAGTCACTGCCCTTGCCGTCCAGAATAAAAGAGAACATCCCAATTGAGTGAAAGGATTTGTGGAAACTGTGGTTCCTAATTATTGTGAAATAAAATTTGCCTCGCATTTCAGGATGAAAAGACAGACATGTCTTCAAATATCTTCAATTGTTGCGTATACCCAGCTGCAGCGGACATATTTGTAAACGACTTTACTTGGACCCATTGTGCGAGCTGTCTCTTCAATACCGCGTGGTTTATATACACGTTGCTGCTGATTGGGCTGACATTTTTGACACACCCACCAAAGAAGAGAAAACTTATCTCAAACCCCGTTGCACACCGTTTACAGGAAACATGTCGTTCAACCCGGAAACCGTAGGTGATGCAAGAGTTGCAACTATGGCAGCTGGGAAGGCCATTCTTTGAGTTCTTTTTGAAGAATTTTTGGAGCCTGATGAAATCGGTATAAATAAGTGTTTGATACTGCAAAATACGCTAAATGTAAAACGTTGCGCACCGGTTTAAGCTTGAACGTTATGGGGTAAGAATTCATTCACAATTCTGCGCGCGCAAGATCACATTTTGAGCACGCAAAATGACATTTCGCACACGCGTGAACTGAGTTTTGAGGAGAAATGTTCGTCTCGCAGATAAGAAAATATTTCGAGCGAACGAAAATCAATTTTGCATTTAAAATAAGTATTTTGATGTGCGCAGACGTTCTCTTTCGCATGTGCAAAGTTTCACTTTCTTGCTCCTCTCATACCAGCCATAAGCGCTCTCGAAGCGCAGACGGCTCGCGTGCTCAACACAACCCAGCGTTACAATATGCCATATAATTCCAGCCAATCAGAGATGAGGCTGCTAAATTCGGATTGGCTGGCTTGAAAACCAATCACAAGACTCCCTGCAGCTGTGGACTAGGAAAAATACATGGTGGAAGATATTTATTTAATTTGTTCAATGGATTGAACACTTCAATTTAAGTTCAAGTAAACAAAAACATTAACAGCAGAGATGTTCTGGAAAAAAGAACTATCTTACTAAAAAAATATACTGTATTTTTATACTATTTTAGGATGGATAGTGTGCACATTGGGATGCAGGCTTGTTCCCCTCACTGCAAAAAAAAAAGAAGAAAAAAGACAGACGTGGGTAAAAATGCAAACATATATGTAAATATAACTGTAAGTGAAAATCTTGGATGTGTGACACAAGACTTCTATATAATTACTCGCATAATTTGATTTTTTATTTTTTTTTGCAGTGAGGGGAACAAGCCTGCATCCCAATGTGCACACTATCCATCTTAAAATTGTATATAAGAAAATACAGTATATTTTTTTTAGTATGATAGTTGTTTTTACATGACATCTGCTGTGAATGTTTTTGTTTAAATAATTCCAAGGATATGAAGTAGATTGATTATTATTTTAACGTTATTACATTGCATTTCTACGTTTATTTGATGGCTTTTTTTTATTTATTCTGATGTGAGTGGTGTACCGTTTTTACACACTTATTTCATTAAAAGGGGAAAAGTCTGTCCATCTTCATTTCTGAAAATGTGTAACATTTGAGACCCCAGCTCGGTCACATTCATATTTCATAGAAGTTAGAACTACCTCTTGAGGTATAGCAAACACTGGGACATGCCATTATGTACAGTAATAGTACGATTTGATTTTGATTAAAAATAAGCTAAAGAAAATTTGCTTAAAATAATCTAAAAAATAAACTGTGATCGTCGAGTGGTAGACAATTGAACTTAAATAGAAGTGCTCAAGCCATTAAACAAATTAAACATAAACATCTTCCACCATGTATTTTTCCTCGTCCACAGTCGGTGATGCAGGGAGTCTTGTGATTGGTTTTCAATCCAGGCAATCAGAATTTAGCAGCCTCATCTCTGATTGGCTGGAATTATGGCATATTGTAACGCTGGGTTGTGTTGAGCACGCGAGCCGTCTGCGCTTCGAGAGCACTTATGGCTGGTATGAGAGGAGCAAGAAAGTGAAACTTTGCACATGCGAAAGAGAACGTCTGCGCACATCCAAATACTTATTTTAAATGCAAAATTGATTTTCGTTCGCTCGAAATATTTTCTTATCTGCGAGACGAACATTTCTCTGCAAAACTCAGTTCACGCGCGTGCGAAATGCCCTTTTGCGCGCTCAAAATGTGATCTTGCGCGCGCAGAATTGTGACCGAAATCTAATCCCATAGAACGTGCCCCTGCAGGTTCTCATCAGACTTTCTGTCCAATCAAATGCTCTCTTGAATCTATAACATGCTGCCCCTACATAGACGCTGAAGCTGCGGCTAAAATCAATCACTTGTGCTGCGGCTCAATTCGCCTATACTTACTGCATACTACGGCCTAAAAGTATGTACTCTTTTTGTGAAGAAAAAGTACATACTTTTGAGCGTGTTGCAGAAGAGTAGACAAGCTTTGAGACATACTACACATCATACATTGCGTCTTTAATGGTTTCTCTCTGTCGCATCCTGTTACAGTAAACTGGCCTGTCGATCATCTTGTCACAGTTAAAATCCTCCACATTTCATTCCGTATCAGAAAGAAATGCAGAAGCACGTTGATCTGCAGTCGCGGGTCTTTCATGCAGAGACTCTCCGCATATTAATGCATAATAATGCATTTAAAAGTTAATGGACAAACGGATCTTTATAAAAGTCCATATTGTTATTGCAGATGAAATGTAACACGGATAACATTAAATATATATTTTTATCAGGTTAAACTTTGATTAGTCACTCAAACCTTTATCTAAACCTCTCACCGTTGGTCGCGCATATCCGCCATGTTTTGTAGTTCCCCCTCCAAAGCGCAACGGGTTGTGGGCAATATTAGCCGTTATAGTGAGCACGGATCCACACTTCGAAAATCCACTGGAAATAGTAGACCATCTGGGGACTTCTGGCATACTCTTTTCAACATCTATGCTTTGGGACACACTTATTTCAATCTCACACGGTTTAGGATGGATAGTATGGACATTGAGACGCGGGGTTGTTCACACGATTACTATTTTCTCCATGGTGAATGGCACACAGTGCACTATATAGGGGATAGGTATATTTAAACAATTTAGGGAGTGTAAATATGCTTTCCATTGGGGCAAACACAAGTCTGGTCTCACGTTAGTGTCATGTGTTCGCCTCAGCGCACACACAGTCTGAGACACGAGACCACAGAGCGGATCATATGCATGAGTTGGCACAGACCACAAAACGAATTGGACCCATTTGAATTCTGCACAGAATGCTATATTTTAAAGTGATATGGAGGAGATTCGGAGGGAACTGCGGCTTTACCGAGCTCAACGGCTCTGGCCGAGCTGTGATATAAACTAAACGCTATTGGCTATTCTAAAAAAGGGGAGGGGTTGTATGATATGTCCCGCCCTGTCTTCCTGTTTCAGTGAAAATTACGTCAATTACGCAATTAAATTGCCTTTAACCTGCCCTGTCAATCATCTTAACAATTAAAATTCTCCACATTCAATTTAGTTTAACTTCCTGTATCGGAGAGAAATATAGTAGCACTTTGATCTACCAGTTGTGGGTCTTTCATGCAGAGACTCTCCTCATGTGTTCACATAATGATGCATTTAGAAGTTAATGAATAAAAGTTCACAATGCTGTTACAGATTAAATATGTTGTGGATAACATTGAATAAATATATTTTCATCAGGTTAGATAGGCTACTGATTATTAATCACTCAAACCCCTTTATTTAAACCTCTCTACTTAACCGTCGGTCTCACACATCCGCCATGTTTGTAGTTTTTAACACTATTTTCCGTGTTTGTATTTCTAATTCATAGATGTCTATGGCTGTTTCTATTGAATGAGATCACGCTTATACAGGCTTTCCATACGTCGCCCGCCTGTGATATCTTAAAACTTTAGATATCCCCTTAAAACTCATCTTTGATCACTAAAATGACATATTTGTCATGTTTTTTCCTTTAACATTTTTTCTTTTGTGAATTAATTTCAAATGAAATAGCTTGAATGTAACTCTACACCCTTGC